TCAGCCTCCAGAGCTACAAGGAAAAAACCTTCTCTTCATTCCAAACTGTCTGGTTACATACTCTACGACAGCAAAACAAACAGCCGCTGGTGAGGGCCAGGAGGAGAACTATTGGCTCCTGTGAGCCTACCGGCACGTGGACTGCAGACCTATTTATCCCTGTCTTCTATATCTGTATCTATCTAATCTATCTGTCCTATCATCACTATCTTTCTATATGTATGTATTCTGTTCATCTCTATATCTCTCTCTATATATACATCTGCTATGTCTCTGCTGTCTTGTTTTATCTATTTTGCTTATATGCATATATAAAATCTATCTACATCCAGCCTATCTCTATGCATCTCCAGTATGTCTATCTATATCCATCTACCACAACTACTGTATCATTTCTATCCATCATATCTCATTTATTCATCATCTGCTGTAGCTTTCAATCCACTGTCCACACTTCTAGCATCTTGCGTGCATGTGGAAATGGAGACCCTTGGCCACAGAACATGGGGTCTCAGCAGGATGCCCCAGGCTCTGCATGCAGAACACTAACTGGTCCCAGGATATCAGATGATAACAATGATTTACACAGTGTGGTAAAATGAAAAACCCTGAACTTTTATCACATTTCTATTTTAGTGCCAGAAACCTATATATGAATAAAAGGTCTTGCTCTACACTGACCAATCACTTTCCAACCACTTTCCACTTTCCACTATACTGACCAAGAATTCCACTTTCCAAAAGCCCATAGTCACAAAATACTATTTACCTGACTTACAAAATGGTTTACTGAAACATAAATGTTTCAGTGTTGTTAAAAGTACTTCTCTGAATTCATTAATTTTATATATGTCTGATCTATTGATTTCTAAATACAATGTGAAAATCTACTATGGTTGCAAATGTGTTTTATTCCCATAACTTTCTCTTTCCTAGATACTGTTATGGTGTATGAAGATAACACAGCTTGAACTGGATATGGGAGCACATGCCTGTAACCCCAGCACTGAGGAGGTTGAGGCAGGAGGATCTTGAGTTCAAGGCCTGGGCTCCCACAACCACAGTGAGATCAAAGTTAGTATGAATCATTCTTCCTTAAAAAGGCAAAACCAAACCAAACAAAAACCAGAGCATCCTAATCTGAAATGCTCCAAAATCAACAAAACTGATTGCCACACCAGCACACAGCAGGACACTCCACACTGGCAGCGTGAAATGTGCCACAAAGTGTAGGCTGCAGAAAGCAGCTCACAAGGCCTTCCTCCTCGTGTGCAGGCGTGCATGGGTGAAACTGAACTCCGCATCCAGACTCGGCTCAGACTCCCATGCCTCCATGTGGGCATGCACACATTCGTTCTCAGGCCTGGTAAAGCCTGAAATCCTGGGTCCCATCACCCTGGGTACAGGCCCGTGGGAAATCTGCTGTCCCCAGGATGCCATGCTCCACACACACCATCTTCAGTGTTAGCTGGGTGTGTTCTTCAGAGCTGGGTCAGCTCTCTGGCTGCTTCTCTTGCTCCCTGCTTGCTATCACTGGGCATGCTGTTTCCTCCCCTGGTCTACTGCAATTTCCAGAATATAACTTCCAAATGTAATGGACAATAACTACCTGTCTGCTTAATACTGGTTAATATAATAATTTTATATTACATACATTTTACAGTTAAAATTACAATTCTAAAAAGTCTTTCTAATGTAACAGCTTTCACTCTGTGAAAGATCCTGTTGAGAGAATGAAAAGATAAGCTACAGTGTGGGAGAAAATACTTGTAAATCACACAACTGGAACATGACCAGTCTCCATATTGTATGCAGAATTCTACAATCAATGGAAATAAACAAAATATCCAGTTAGGAAAGGGCCAAAGACATGAACAGGTACCTCTTCCCTTTAGAAGGTCTAGCAACAGCAAGAGAACCTGCAATATGATGCCATCATTGCCCTCTTGCACGTGTAATCCAGAGGACTGAAGACTCAGTGTCCCACAGAAACCAAATGCATGAGTGTTGTAGCAGCTTCATTAGGGAACAAATTAAAAACTCAGGGATGATCTGACTGACTGTGGTACTTCTATCTGTATCATGTGTCACTCCAAGTCAAGTTCCATCACTGTGCCCAAACACGATTTAAAGGAGGAAGATTCATTTTGGCTCATGGTTCAGAGACTTCAGTCAGTGGTCAGTGGTTCCAGTGCTGTGGGCCTTAGGTAAGAAGCAACATCTTGATGGAAGGACATGGTGAAGGAAAACTCCTCAACTCAAGACAGCAGGGAAGTATAGAGAAGGGAAGAGCCAGGGAAAGGGTCAAGGGGCTGGACAGACTCTCCAAGGTCACTACTTTCCCCATAATCCACTACTTTCAACTAGACCCCACTTCTGGTTTCTATTACCTTCCAATAATGCCATTAAATTATGGTTTCATTGGGCTGGGGATTTAGCTCAGCGGCATAAGCACCTGCCTTGCAAGCAGACGGTCGTGAGTTCGATCCTCGGTACCGATAAAAATGAAAAAGACGAAAAAAAATTTATGGTTTCACTGATGAGTCAATCCATTCATGAAACTATACCCATCATGGTCCACTTGTCAAAATCACTTCAACAAGTAAGCCTTCAACACAGTGAACCTTTTGCGGGGAACATTTTGGCTATCACAATTCCTCAGGCACAAAGGTGCACCAGCTGTTGACACAGGCAATAGCCTTCATGAACTTCCAGAGATTTACACTGATGAAAAGAAGTCACTCTCCAAAGGTGACACATTAGATTGCCCTATATATAGAAAATTCTTTTAAAAATTACACAAATGCAGAACAGATGTTGTTAAGGAGTGTTCAGACTGTGAAGGAAGAGGTGGAAGTTCTGTAGTGAGTTCTTCATGCCAATGTGCTTTTCTTCATCTTGAAAAGTCCATGTGGAGCACAGACCAGGATGTCCCACACAGTGCACCTTCGTATGTTAAGTGTTTTAAGCTGTGGAAAGCTGAGCAAGTCACTCTGCCCTTGTCTCACTTTCCTCTCTTCCACCTACTACCCTAAAAGTCAGTCCTAAGACACTAATTCCTCAGGCATCTTGCCCTATATCCAAAAGCAAGAAGAGTGGCAGATGGATGAGCTAAGAGGGTTACTGGCTGTTTCTGGACTGGTTGGGGCTCACAGTCCAGAAGGCTTACCTGTGAACTGGTCCACAGTGATAGGGTTCAAATCAAGGTTTTGATGTAGTGTTTTTGCTGCTTTCACTTATAGCTTTTAACTGACTAACATCTCTATTTCCTTTGCCTTCTACGTTCTGGTCTCAGAATTTTTCTTTTGGCACAGCTGAGAGCCCTTGTCAGAGACTGAGCCCATAAGGTCACCCAATCCTGGACTTTCACCCCCCAAAAAAACTCTGAGCTCAATGAACCTCTTTTCTTTACATCCTACTCAGTTTCTGGTATTTTGTTACAGCAGTGGGAAAAGAACTCATGAAATGCCTATGCACTCATGAAATCACAAAGCTGATGGACAGTCAATGGAAACAGAACTAGAGGCAGTGGATGAGGGAGAGGGTAAGAGTGGGAAAGCTCATTGACTCAGTTTTAGAGAAATTCGGTTTTCAGGTCTAATGTGTCCTGGGTTTGAGGGTAGATGTCCATATTCAGGCCTGGTAGCCTGGAGCTGGGAACATCAAAGCTGCCTGGACTTGTCAGTATGTGGCATTCATTGGGCTCCTGAGACTGGCTGATGACCAGGAACATATCTGTGTGTCCAGCCCAAACCCCCAGACACAAAGCTGGGACAGAACAGGTGGAACTTCTCCTCCACTGGGAGCCACAGGCAACTAGGCTAGAAGACGGTAGGAAAAAACAGCCAGAGGACAGACTCACCTGGTCATCTCAAAGAGCAAGTGAGGAGGGAAGACACATTCTGCCTTGGATGTTGGCACAAAGAAGGGACTTTGCCGTAACTGGATGCCTCAGTACCTCTGCTCACTGGAAGGGTGGTCAGGGACTGACGGCTTGTGACCAAGAGGAGAGAAGCATTTGGCCTTACTCTGTCTGTGTGCTGAGATATAAGCAGGGGACCTGGCTCTCTCTCCTAAAGACCTTGGCCTGGGTGAATCTGGTATTCTGCCCCCAAGAAAAGGCCCTCCCTGTCACCTGCAAAGCTACCAGCTGCGCTTCTGCTATGGTCTGGAGGTTGAATGTTCCCAGGAGTACATGAGTGGAAGTTGGGAGGTGTTGGAGCCTCTGACAGGTTAAACCTGTGGTCCTTAGAGCACCCAGGGTGTAGGACACACACACACACACACACAGGCCCACCTCTGTTTGCTTCTTGGCATGAGGTGAATGGTTTCACTCCAACACGTTGGTGGTGCTGTATCACCCCATCCAAAAAGTAATGGTCCAACCAAGGCCTAGACCCTCCAAAACCCTGAGTGAAGGTACATCTTTACTCCTTTATTTCAGGTGTTTTGTTACACCCACTGGGTCAAATTTCATTCCGCAGGGGGAAGGCAAAGGAGGCGGCAAAGTAGTCTTGTCAGAAGCCATGACCACAGACTGACCATAGTTGTCACTCTGCGTTCCAGAGGATCGCAGTGCCAAGACCACAACCAACGCTCAGGTGTAGGTGGTTTGCCATGGTCTGTGGCCACATGCCAGGACCGCCAAAGTCCTCAATAGGACCCCACAGGAAGAACTCAGCGGTGCTCTCTGTCTTGGCAGGTTTTTTGTCCCAGTGCCATGTGTGACCGAGTCCTACAGTGCCTGTGTGGTGAGCAGGAGAAGGGGTAACTGTGCCTGCTGCAGGTGCTGTCTGCAGGTCCCCAAGACCCTAGTGCACTCGGGGTGGCTCTGGAAGGTGATGGCCATGGCTGGTGGAGGTGCGGCTGCTGAGGGCCTCGGGTCACCTGAGGGCACTCCCCTTCCCTCTCAGCTCCCTGATCAGCCTGCTGAGGAGCACTCCTCCTCCTCCAAATCTTTCTACCGTGCCGCCCTGCACCAAAGCCAGCGAAACGTTAGCCACCAGAAACCTCTCCTTTTATTTGCGGGTGTCAGTACAGTGACCAAGACGACGCCCCAGCCAGGTGGAAGAGCTGATGTCCAGGGACCACATGCAGGCTTGGCGAGGAACCTCAAGGACCGCCCGGGTCCACGGTGAGGCTGGGCGGTCAGCGAGCGGCCAGTTGGTGTTTCTTGTACAGCAGCGCGCGCCGCTTCTCGCGCTCGCGCACTAAGGCGCGCAGCCGTGCGGTGGGGAAGGCCACCGGCGCAGGGCGGGCGCCGGGAGGACCCTCCTCCGTCAGCCAGGAACTCTGCAGGCAGCTGGAGGCACATGGCCGTGCCCTGGGATAGGGAGCGCGCGTGAGGATGTGTGGATGCTGGCGGGCCAGAACCAGGAGAAGGGCGGGAAGGGGGATTCCAGGGCGGGTGGAGGCGGAAGGACGAGCGAGGCCGGGCGGAGTGGACACGGCTGGAGGACAGGTCAGGGCGCTGGAGGGGGCACGGCTCCTTACCAGGGCTGGGTGCTCAGCGTGCCCCGCAGGAAGGCCACGGCGCCCCCCGACAGCCCTGCATAGCAGCGGCTCAGCCGGATTAGCCCCTTGCGCAGCCCCTTCTGCAAATCGCGGGTTCCCTCGCCGCTCACCGGGTACTCCGCGCTCAGCCTGTGTATGGGTAGGGGGCCCTCCATTACCTTCTATTGGTAGGGGCCACTCAAGATGGCACGGGACTCCGAGGGCGCCCTGCCCGCCCACTTTGCGCCCTCTTTCCCCCATGATAGCTGGAAAGGCTCACATGATGAAAGCTGTCACACCGATGGCCCAGATGTCTGTCTGTGGGACAGCCCCCTGGCCCTCCAGGAGCTCCGGAGCTGGAAGGGAGCACAGGGAGGGGGCACTGATGAGAGGCCAGGTGGGTTGACACTGGCACATGGGCACGGGTGAGTGGGCTGAGATGGAGAGCACTGGTAGAGACGAACCCAAGTAGTTGTGTGAGCACAGGTAAGGGGCCCAACATGGGGACCCAGATGTGTGGGCCCAGGCTGAGAGTCAGGTGGAATACACAGGTGAGAGGATGGCTCCTTGCTGGAGCTGGGCAAGGTGGGGCAGGCAGGACAGGTGGAGAGGGGCTTTCCACTGCACCCCAAGCCAGGTCCCTGTAGCTGAGTGACCCTGCTTACACACGCACCCATGGTCTCCAAGTAGTCCTTGAAACTCTCAGAGGGCAGCACCTTTTCCTGGTGGAGGCTCTGGGCACTCCCCAGGTCCACAACCTTAAGCAGGTTATACTCTGTAATCATCATATTCTCTGACCGCAGGTCCAGGTGCAAGATGTGCTGGGCATGCAGGTACTGGGTGGCACTCAGCATCTGCCACAGGTAATCCTTCACCTCAGACTCTGAGTAGGAGGCCCTAGGGACAGAGGTGGCTTGGCACAGGCATCAAAGAGAGGGCATGCAGAGATCTGTGCCCCAGTGGCCTGGGAGAGGCTGCCCAGCTCTGCCAGCCAGGCATGAAGGTCAAACAGGATAAGGTAGGACACAAGCCCCATGTCCACCTGCCCATCTGCTCAACCACACCAGCCTGTGCCACCCTTCACCTCTCAGCCAGGCCGGGGAGCAGCTCAGGCCCTGAGCACAGCTCCAAGATGAGCACCAGGTGCCGAGGGCTGAGGTAGGCGGCGTGTAACTGGGCCAGGTGTGGATGGTGCAGTCTCTTGAGGGCTTCATATTCCTGGAGCACTGCCATCTTGTCCTCAGGCTGGTAAGGGATAATCTTAGCGGCCAGTGCCCGACCACTGGCCTTCTCCCAGCACTGCCGTACCACACTGAAGCGGCCCCTGGGCAAAGGTGACACCAGGAGGGTAAGGTCCTTGAGGAGCAGGGCAGGAGAGGCAGGAGGCCATAGCCAGATGCATGGGGAAGAGGCTTGAGCTAAGGCTGCATTGGGATTGGGGAAAGGCAGGTTGCAGGGGAGGGCGGGGCACAAAACCCACCCACCCCATGGTCCCCAGCATCCACACCTCCTGATCTGCATCTGGAAGGCGAAGGTCTTGGTATTGGGCAGGGGCTGGGCTGGCCGACCACCACCACTCTCCTCCTCAGAGGCTTCGGGAAGGCAGGTAATGGTCAGGGTAGGCATCCCGCATCCCTAGCTGTCCCCAACCCCTATGGGACTGCCTTCCCAGACACCACACAAAGGGCCCTTCTTCAGCTCCCACACATTCTGACTCATTCCTCTGACACTGGGGACAAGAATGGGGGTACTTCAGGCAGAGTGAACCATACAGAAAGTGACAGCTGCAGGGTCCCCTCCAAGAAGAAGTAGGGACAGACTCTTAACTGTCACATCACTCTTCCTCTGAGTCCAGATGCAGGCCTAGCTCTCAGGGCCACATAGCATGATGGGTGCCAAGGGATGAGGGGACCCCAGAGGGCACAAGCCTTGGCTGCTGAGTGCAGTTGGCTTTTTCCAAGGAAGGTGGTAATCACCCCATCCACCCTGTCCCTGTCCTTTAGGTGGCTCACCCAGGCGGCTTGGCCCTCCTAGGAGGACCTGCTCTGATGGGCTGCTGTAGGGTCCCATGCCCGCCTTGCTGACACATGCTGTGCGGAAGGTGTAGACACCACCCCGGGGCAGCTTGCTGGTGAGGTAGCAGCAGTCAAAGATGTCGGAGGCCAGTGTGGTCCAGCTGCCGCCTAGGCCCAGGGAAGCCATGAGAGGAGTGGGGAGAGTGGGTGCAGACACTTTCCTTAGGAGGCGGAGGACCCCCCTGTACCTTCCATGCAACATTGTATAATGTATGTCACAGGGCCACAGGACTCCACAGGCTTCCAGACCAGAAGCACTCCATCTTCGTATACCTCTCCGATGTCAGGGCGCGGGGAGGACGAGGGGCGCTCTGCAAAGGGGTCACACATGGTCAAGGTGGGCCCAGAACACCTTGGCTCCACCCCACCCCAGCCAGGAGCCACTCCAGGCTGCCTGCATTGCCAGCATCCACGCATGACCCTATGTAGAACAAGGGCTCTGGTGGCTCAGCTTTGCTGAGTGCCCAGCACCAGCTGTCTGAAGTTCACTCACAAGGCTGCCCCTATCCTGGTCCTCCTAGAAGCACACTCCATGCAATGTTTGGAGCTTGGGACTTGGCCCTGAAGGAGACACAGAACAGGGATGACCTCTCCTTCCTGTGGGGGCAGACCAGGCAGCACCGTGGAGAGATGCAGCCAGGCTTTAGGCTCTGGGAAGAGCTCCTTCCACAGGCAGATGGGCATGAGCATGGTGACCTGTGGGACTTTCACCAAAGGCTCTCTCCCTGTTCCTGGGCACACTGCTCCCGGCCAGTGCAGGACACCTTCCCACCCACTCTGGGCACCTGAAGCAGCCATGAGCCATGCCTGCCTATCAGGATCAGGCTGTTTAGGGCAAGTAATGCCCAGTGGCCACTTCTCAAGCCCCAGGTTCTGTGGTCTCACAAAGTGGGACATGGTCTCCTTGTCTCCCTACCCACCTGCTTTCCGGAGAACACTCATGCTGGCTGCTGTCCCCAGCAGGTTGCTCACACTACAGGTGTACTCGCCCAGGTCCTCAGCTGTTACCACTAGTATGGTCAGCAGCTCAAAGTTCTTCAGGGTGGAAGAGATGAGGATGCGCCCACTGCTCTCCAGGATGGCGCCATCTGCACAGGCATAGAATGGGCCTCAGTTTACCTGGACAGCCACAGCCTCTTGCCTGCCTCAGGAGAGCACCTTACCTTTGCTCCAGGTGGCTTGGGCAGCTGGCTGGGCTGACACCTGGCAAGCTAGCGTCACTGATTGTCCCAGGACCACAGCCTCATCTGAGAGCTCCCTCAGGAAGGTTGGCGCTAAAAATAGGAAACAGATGAGGCTTCAGGGGACACCCAGCCAGAGGGTGCAGCTGGACCCCACCCAGTCTTGCAGGATTGCCGGGCCTTGCTCACCGTGGTCTCTGCCTTTCAGGCCTGACAATCGGAAGGAAGCTAGGCCTACTTTCTTCCTAGAGGGCTCCTCCCTCTCTTGACCTGCAGGAAGAAGAAGCCACAGAGGCCATGATAGGCAGGAGATCCTATCCAGTGGGCAGCACCTACTTCCCCAGTCTACCCTTGCCCCAGCCTTCCCCCGACTTCCATGCTACAGGGAAAAGGCCCAGGATTGTGGGAAGTGAGCTAATCACACTGAGGCTTCCCCTCCTAGGCAGCCTGGACCCTAAAAGGCTGCTGCAGGGGCACTATCCCCTTGGGAGGCTCCTGGGACATATCCACCTCCAGGCCCCTGCAACTGCCTTACCCACAACTGGCCCCAGGAACCCAGGAGAAGGGCATTGCATACCAGGCAAAGGCCTATGGGGTGAGGCTAGGGGCTGAGCTGCCCCTGACATGAGAGGGTGGGGAAAACCCAGGTGTGGCAGCTCCCAGCAGGAGGCACCTTGCTGCATGCCCTTCAGGATTCGGGAGATGTGGGCTATGGACGCTTTCACCCTCTGGCGCAACCCGAGCTCTGGGGGCTCTTCTGGTGACAAGCACCCCGCTGGGAACTGGAAGAGGCTCCCAGAGGGTGACCACTTGCGCTTCCTGCCTGTGGCCGCTTCTCCCAGCAGGGCCGCCAGGTCATCAGACTCCTCCTCAGTGATCTCAAGGCCAACACGTAGGCCCAGCTCGCCTGGGCAGGGCCACATGGCCTCTGGGAACCTAGCCAGCTCCTCCTCTTGGTCCTCCATATCTGGAGAGGGTGGCTCCACTGGCTCTGAGGGCTTAGGGATCCTCCTGAAGATCATGAACTCAAAGGGCAGGTACTTGATGTCATACAGGTCGGAGAGGTTGAGGTATGCAGGGTCCACCTCAGAAATGTCCAAGGATATGGTATCAGCTGCCTCCACATCCCCTGACAGGTCCCGAATCTGCACCAGGGAGACCTGATCCACCTCCTCCTGTGAGGGCAGCTCTGAGGAGGCCCTTGGAGACCCCAGGCTAGTCTGGGGCTGGGAGGGCTCAACTGCAGCTTCTTCCCGCTCCTCTGAGGACTGGGACACTGACCAGGCCATCCTGGCCCACAGGGGACCCTGGCCCAGCATGCCTCCAGCATCCCCGCCAAAGGCAAAGGTCCCATAGCCAGCCACACCTGCATAGCCCCCTCGGCAGGACCCCAAGGAAAACTTCCGGGTGGTTGCCTGCTCCTGAGGCCGCTGTTGAGGGGGTGTGGAGTCTGGTGGACCCTCTGCTTGCTGGGTCAATTCTTCAGCACCCAGGGAGGGGCCTGGACAGGGTCTCCCAGGCAGGAGTGTCCGGGAGTTGGGCAGAGGGCTTGCTAGAACCAGGCCAGGGGGCTGTGTTGAGGTTAGCTCGCAGCCTTCCTGGGGAGGACCACCCAGCTCAGGGGAACAGATGGGCCCTGGGCACCCTCCACAGTTCTCCCTTGGTGGCTCATCCCATGGAGCGGGCCCCCAGTCTCCACTGGCAGATGGGAGTAGCCCAGCCTCCTTGGAGTGCACTGGGTCCCCAGCAGAGACCCCACAAGTCGGCCCGGACAAGGCTGAGGATGGACACCGCCCTTCAACACAGGCCTCTGGGGTGGGGTGCTCAGTGCTGGATGGGTCATGGTCCAGGGAGCGGCTTCGGCCCGGAACCTGTTGGGTGCCTGGGCTGGGCTGCCACAAGGCGGACTCAAAGGAAGTCGCCCGGGTCACTGCAGCCTGCTCCTCCTGGGCAGCTTCTTCCTCCAGCATGCGGTGCTCCAGGAGTGGCTCCCGCAGCCCAGGTAGGGCCCGTGCAATGTACCCGCCCTTCAGCAGGTGCCGCCGTCGCACCCCATACCGCCTGGCCCCTATGGCCACAGCCCCTCTCTCTGGGCCTTCGTCTGACTGCTGGTAAAACAGGCTGCGGATGACACTGTGTCGGGGCACACAGCCAGGGGATGGAGGTCCCGCAGCTGGAGGGCACACTGCCTCCTGGGTTGCTGTGAGGGTGGCACTGGCCTCAGCTTCCTCCGGCAGGCTAGCCGAGGGCCGCAGGAAGCCCCGGGGGTGCAGCAGTGGGGAGTGGGTTGTAGGAGAGGGTGGCAGCGACTTGGCCCGGGCGAAGGGTGCCAGCTCATAGTCCGAGGAGGCTGAGGAGCTAGAGGAGCTGCTGGTGTCTGGGCGTAGGTGCCGGGCCACACCAAGGGATGGGCTGTCGGGTGGGCCCTGGAGCAGCTCAGGGATGGACCGCATGACCAGGATGGACTTGTAGCTCATCAGAGAGCGCTAGAGCCACAGGACAGCACATTAGGGCATGGTCAAGGGCAGCCCCACCAGACAGGGTCCCTGAGGCCTGGGCTCTGCCTGCTGTTTTGCTGACACATGGCTGGGCCTGAGCCTCAGTTTCCCGTGTGTGAGGCAGTATGGCTCACCTGCCAGCGGCTGCGGGCCAGGAGGAACTTGAGCTGCTTGGTGTTAATAAAGTGAGCTTCCTCAGCAGGTACAGATGTCTGTGGGCAGCAGGGAGCAGCCATAGTGAGGATGGTACCAGCTGGGCAGAAGCCCTGGGTCCCCAAACCTAGATGCTCAAGCAGGCAAAGGGCAGAGCCAATGGTGGCACTCTGTCCCAGGCCTCATAGCAAACTGATGAGGGGTAGACACCCCCTAGACTAGAGATATGGGCCCCGCCTTCCATTTCAGTGTGCCCTCTCTGTCCCCTCCCTGCAGGTGGTAGGGCCCAGCCTGGGTGGACTCACCAGGAACCAGGGGTGGGCGAGGCACTGTGTGGCACTGGGTCGAGCCCTGCAGAGGACATCAGGTGGTCAGTCAGTGGTAGACAGGGCCAAGGGCCTAAGATGGATGATGGGTGGCACAAGCACTTACTCTGGGGCCTGCTGCAGTGTGGCCTTGATGAAGTCCTGGGCATCTGCACTGAGATGGGCAGCTGTGGGGCCGCTCCAAGACACCCGCCCCTCGAGGATGTTCAGAAGGGTGGCACGGTCACTCTCACCAGCAAATGGGGATGAGCAGGTCAGGCTGAAAGAAGCAGGCTGGGCTTCAACTAAGACCTGGCTCAAAACTGCTCCCATCCAGCCTGAAGATCCCAGCAGGCCCCAGTCTCAGGACAGAGCAAGGATCCAGGCTCAGCCTGCAGTAGGTAGCTCAGATCAGCCTGAGGTAAGGAGACAGGCTTCACAGGGGTGAGGGTTGCCCTGTGTGGGATCCAGATTTGGTTTGCAGTGAAGACCAGGTTGCAGCACGAGAGGAGACACAGAGTTAGCCTAAGGAAGGGCAGGCAGCTCAGCCTCTGTCTAGGGGGTCCAGTGGGGATGAGGACAGACCAGGTCAGCCCAGCACACATATCAGCCCTTCCCAAAATGGACATCAGAGGAGCCAAAAGGAGAAGCAGCCATGGTCACAGAGTGTCCTCTACACAACCCTGGGCCCAGGAGGGATGAGTGGCTCAGTCTCATGACAGCATGGCGCCTACAGGATATGCTGAGAAGGTCCCTTATCAGGTTGGCTGGCTGCCTGCTCCTGAAATAGCTGCCCGGACCTGGGGCTCCCCCCAGGTACACAGGCAGAGTACAAGGCCTCTGGGCTGACGTGGAAGGCGGCACTGCAGGGGTCAGAGACAGCGGCGTGGCTCACCTGAGGTAGGAGATGACTCCCACAGCCCTGCGGGAGGAAAGCACAGTGAGCTGCAGAGCCTGGCCAGGAGCAGGATGCGGAGATGCAAGGGTACCCTCAGCAGCTGCCTGGGGGCCTCCCTGACTCCACTGCTCACCAGATGTCAGAGGCCATGCTCACAGGTGCCTGCTGGATGATCTCAGGGGAGACGAACTCAGGGGAGCCATACTTGCTGTACTGCAACCCCAAAGGTGTGAGTTTCTGGGCAAAGCCGAAGTCACAAATTTTAATGTCTTCCCGAGCAGGATGCACCATTAAGATGTTGGGGGGCTGTCAGGCAAAGTCAAGATGTCAGAAAGGGCTGTGTCTGGGGATGACCCCTGCCCCTGGGGCCTTTGGGTTTTAGGAGACACTGGAGGATCCATGAGGCCAGCATGGGCAGCAGGGATTCCCAGGGTCATATTAGAGCCAAGTTCCATCAGATGGGGCTGCTGGAAAGAGAGAGCTCCCTGCCTCAGAGGTAGGCAAACTGTTGGGGAGGCAGGACAGCCTGGGCTCTGGGGTAGAGGTACCTTGATGTCCAGGTGAAGGACACCGTGACTGTGCAGGTATTGCAGCCCCTCCACCAGCTGCTGGATGTAGACCTTGACCTGTGCACAGGTGGGTCCAGATGAGGGCCACCCACCCAGCTCACTGCTCCTGACCCAGCCCTGTACAGGTCCCATGGGGAAGCATACAAAGCTCTCTGCGGGCCCCAAGCTGGGTTGCCCCAAAGGCTAGAGGGCAAGGAGCAAGAGCCATAGCAGAGCAGGGAGTCATGGGCAGGGAGGTGGAGTGGTAAGGAGGGCTGGACAGAGGTCTTAGGTCTCCTGACCCAGTTGGAGATGGCCTCACCTCAGCCTCGGTCACCACATTCTTCTTGAAGAGACGGTCCAGCAGCTCTTCAGATGAGCACCTGGTAACAGTCAAGGAAACATGGGGAGCTTCTCGACACAGATCGGTGGCCAGGATAGGGCCCAGCAGGGGGTGGTGCTCAGGGTCAGGGGGTGGCAGTGCCATCCCTGGAGGAGGCTCAGGCCTGGCCAGGAATGAAGATATACTAGCCCACATGCACTGCTGTGAGCTGTAGAGCAGTGCAGGCTGACAGCAGTCACCTTGACCTGGCTGTCCAGGGACCCCATGCTCCCCCCTTCTAGAGCTCTCCAGGCAGGGCAGGATATAGCTCCAGGATTAGGATGAGGGTCTTCCTCGTCTCGAACTGGTCCAGTAGCCCGGTAACCAGAGGGTGGCTGAGGGTGGCCAGGATGTCCCGCTCCTGATAGGCCTGGGAACGCGTCCTGCTCCGCAGGGGGATGAACTTGGCGGCGTAAGACATCTTGTTTCCCTTGTGCTGCACCCTCTTCACAAAGCCAAACACACCCCTGGGGGAAGGAGTGTGTGGGTGGCGCACCGTGGGTCCCATAGGCCCTGGGGCCTCAGGGAGCACCTGGGGGGCCTGTACCTCCCGATCTCCTCATGGACCTCGTAGAAGGACTGTAGCTTCCTCCGGTAGTGCTGCCTGTCAGAGTCCAGCTCACCATCCCCTGCATCACAGGGCAAGACATGGTCAGTGTGGGCAAGGTGACACCTTAGGCCAGTGTCACAAGAGCCCAGGGAACCCACAGCCAGAGACCCTTGTACTCTACTCACCCCCGAGGACTAGAAGCTCTGCCTTGCAGAGCACCTGGCCACCAGGATTGTGGGCTACGAAGGTGTAGACACCAGCGTCTCGCTGGGCCGTGTCTGTCAGTACCAGGGAGCATGTGGTGCCATCCCGCCGCTGCTGGAGCCGGGCACTGTCCACCAGCTGGATGCCATCCTGAGGACAAGGACAGCCAAGCGCTATCAGCCCAGCCCTGGAGATTCCCGTGCCGTGCTCAGCCTACCCTGCCAAGTGCTGTGTTCCACACATGCTACACATATGCCCTGCCCCACATCCCACCCAGAGGGGCTGGGGAAATACATAACAGGAATGGGATGGGGACTGCGGGGTGGCGTTTCCCTCCACACAGGACCACCCATGCCTGGTACCCACAATGGGCCTCCTCTGACCTTGTACCAAGTTACTGTGGGCTGTGGGTTGCCCTCAATGACAGCCTCAAACTGTGCAGTTCCACCTGCCTGGACTTGCACATCCTCAATGGTGACTTGCATGGACGGGGGCCCTGGAAGTGATTGAGGAAACTGAGGGCAGGATCCCTGGGCACCCACTATGCACAGGTCAGCAAGGTTGCAGGGCCACCCTGTAGTGACAGCCCCTCCCTGTGACAGGGCCCCACCCAGGCTTCAGCCATGGGAAGTGCTTCCCTCTGTCCAGCTGCTGTCTCTCCTGCCATGACCTCAGAGGGCCAAGCTGTCCCCTCAAAGTGGCTGAGGACAGGGCTAGCAGACTCAGAGCCAGCCTTCCCTCTGTGAGCTGCTGCATGTGTTGGCCTTTGCAGGCAGCTCAGTCAAAGTCCCCTGCCCCAGCACGGCACCCATACTTGCAGCACCCACGTTGGTGGCCTGATACACACAGGTCCTCTGTGTGGCCTCAGTGACCACATGGCTGTGGACATCCCAGAGCAGCTGTCCTGGTCTGGCCATTGGATAGGCTGTGTCTTCCACCCTGGAATCACAGAGATCACTGAGCCTGGTGATACACAGGGACCCTGCCCCCAAGGTGGCCTCCCCTATGTGCCCCTTGGGCTCTTCTGGCAAAGGAGATTACCGGGTAGGCACCGTTCGTCCCTGGGCCCCTTCAGTAGATGCCAGCTCCACCTCCAGGTCTTCCAGGAGATTGGCTTGTAGGAGAGAGAAGCAGTGAGAGGGCAGGGAGGATAGCGGGGATACCACTGTCACCAGCCATTGTGGGGAGGGGTGCTACCACTTGAGCCCTAGGACTCCCCACAGCTCAGTGCACACATGCTGTCCACGTGAGGGGCTCAATCCCTAATGTCCTGCCTGCTGGCCAGGTCAGCTAAGGACAAGCCAACACTGCCCACCAGGGCACCTAAACAGCCCAGGGACACCCCAGGCCTAGCTGGAACTTCAGCAGCTGCTGAGAGGAAGAGCCACCCAGGTACAGCCACCCTGCCTAGCTAGAAACAGGGGGCTCGGGACATTCAAGGGAACAGAGGGTGCATCTTAGGAGACTGAGACCCACTGATTGCTGCCTGCTACCTGTAGCCTGGGAGTGGGCAGATCTCTGACACCTGTCTGGGGGTAGCTGAGTGGCAAATTATACAGACACACACACAACCTGCTGTGGCCAATGTGCCAAGCCCTCTGGAGCAGGCTGAACCAGGCTGGCACAGGGGAACAAGGTGGGGTACCAGGGAGCAAAGGAAAGTACAGTTGGGTGGGGGCCAGGGCTATGCTCTCATCAGGTTCACCAACACTGGTGTCAGGGACCACAATCACGATACAGAGCACAGCATTCTTGGCACAGGACAAAGCCGGGACCGGGAGGCCCCACCACTATTCAGCCTCTACTGTGTCCTCCTCTATGACACCAGCCTAGTGATACAGCTGGAGGACCAGTCACACTCCAGGCCCCTGGGACAGACACAGCACCTGGAGGATAAATGCTGGTCCCAGCTGTGGGAGGAGGAGCCATGGATGCTCAGAGTCATGGGCTGCTATGCCTGCACCCTGACCAGAGACAAGACAAGGTGGCTGGAGGCCAGGGACCAGTCAGGGCATCTGGGCTGTGTGTCGGGTCAGGGGCATGAGAGGAGCTTGTGGGTTGGGGCAGAGGATGCGTGGACACAAGACAGGATGGTAGGTGGAAGGACAGATGGCCCCAGGTCCCTGGCCTGACCAGCCGCCATCCAGCCCAACTCAGCCTGCCAGGAGGACTTAGCAATTGAGCAAGGAAGAGGGCCCTCTCAGAGCCTCTCTGCAGGCACTCCCATAAAGGCTTCAGTTCCTAAAACAGGAGGAGCTGCCCCAGTGTGGGCAGGAACTGAGAGGATCCCAGAGCTGGGCCATAGAAAGAGACAGGAAGGAGCAAGGCAGAGTTCTGATGTGATCTTGTCTTCCTAGGACACAAGCCCACCTACACCTCCTGCTTCCTCCACCTCCACCTGCTGATGCCACAGCCCAAGCAGGGAGCCCTGGCCCTGGGACACTTTGTCTTGCTGAAGTCTCATAGATGAGGAAACTGAGGCCCGGGCCAAGGAGTCCCTGGGGCTCAGCAGCTCACACCCACAGGCAGCACTACATGGGGCCTCACCAGCTGCAGCTGAGGCTCCTGCACTGGAGGGCTGGGGTCTGGCCTCCTGGGATGCAGGTGGCCTAGTGGGCCAGGGAACAGTGAAGTCCCCTGTAGAGGGGCCTGGTGCCTCGAGTCCCTGCAGCCCCAGAAGAGTAGGTGTCACCTCCGAACGCGTTCCATCAAGGGTGGGGTGGATGGAGTCCTCTGAGGCAGCCTCTGTGGAGAGGAGGTCAGTGTGGTGAGGCCCAAGTGTTTCATGGAGAGGCTGCACACCCGGAATGGCTCAAGAAGTCCCCTCCCTAGGACCCACAGGCCCAGGCTCAAAACCCCAGGTACACCCCCTCCTTCCAGAGCCACCCAGCTACAGCCCACTCTCAGCCCCTGGAGCCCACAGCCCAACACCCTCCATGCCCCCTACACCGAGCCCACACCGACCATCAGGCCAGTCCCTAGGCTGGCTGGGGAGGTGCTGCACTGCACAGTTCCAAACACCCAGGGCAGCTGGGATGGCTGTCCAGGGGACCTCAGCTACAGCCCTCTGGGTGCAGGTCACCTTCCAGACTGGCCCTCATCTGCCCCACCTGACCAGCAGCTGTCTCCCTTTCCTCTGCCTCCCTCACCCTCCAGACACCCATGGGTGCAGCTTTCTGATATCCTCGAAGCCAAGTACCCAGGGCTGCTGACCATGGCCACTCTCCCCCTGCAGTGAAGAACCGCACACTTGGGCTGGAGACATTACTCCAGGCTGCCCTTCGAGGGTCAAGGGTGCCCATCCTCTACTCTGAGGTCACCAGGGCCCAAAATGAGCCCCAGTTGGACTTGTCAGGGACAGGGGTATTACAGTTGTGTGTGGGTCCCTGCATGCCCTGGTCCCACGTGGGCTCTGACGACGGCCTGTTCCACTTGGGCTGCTGGATCACCCCATGTCTGCATGGGTGGCCCACACGCCTAATGTAACCAGGCTGGATCTGCACAGACACAGGTCAACCAAGGACCCTATAGGCCACCCTGCGGCCAAAGGCACTGTGGGCACAGAAGCAAGAAGGAGCCCACAGCAGGCACAGGAGTTTTTTATTGTTCACAGGACCCATGACAGAAGACTGCACAACTGAGAGCTGCATGGAGCAGCAGCTGAAGGCACAGGACAAATGCTGGGCCACATGCTCTGGCAAGAGGTTCCCAAAAGGCCCAGCACAGGTCAGGGTCAGCCTCAGGGGACTGTGAGGTAGAGGCCAGAAAGGAGGGCAAGGATGTGCATCCTGAGCTTCCAGGATCTGGTGGGGCTCTAGGGGACTTGGAGAGCCCCAGACCTGGCATCAGTGCGACACAGGCTGTCCCTGCCATAGCAGTAACACAAGCACAGGTCCTGGCCCAAGTTCCACCAGGTGGTCTCAGCCCTAGGGGCCAGGGCCCTCACCCCCGCCTGGGCGGAGGCACAGTGTGACAGTCTCGCCCACGGTTCCAAAGTCAACCGTCTGGGTGGAGACCTCCGTTTTGAAGCTACACTGGCTGCTGTCTGCAAACTGTTGCACCTGGGCACAGAAGGAGGATGTCCAGGGGCTGCTGCCCCCAGGGCTAGGCCTCTCCACAAGGAAGGAGATGCCCTCAGCCCCAGGGGCCCAGGGATCTTGCTGAAAGGAGCCAGGCCAGCGCCCCATGCTGAGCAGGACAGGCTGCCCCACCACAGGCGCAGGCTCGCCGATCTCTCTCTGCAGCACCGAAACCGTGCATGGAGGGTCCCCGGAGGTGTCGGGCATGGGATCTCTGCAGCCGAAGGTTTCCCCTTCCTGCGGCACATAGTCCTCCAGGTCAGCCAGGGTCAGCGCCCGGCCATTGTGTGTGAGAATCTTGGGGCTGTGGTCACCAAGGCCATGGGTGTCCTGGGGCTCCTCTCTGACAACGAGGCTTCCGTCCTCTTCCTCCCCTCCTCCTCCCTTCTCCATGGCACTGTCCTCAGGAGTGGCCCAGGCCATGCCACTTGTGTCCACACAGAAGACCACGGGCTTCCCGACGCTGGCAACTGCTGTGTCCTGGGCCAGCCGTGTGTTGTTGGAGTTGTTGGTATTAGGGTCTGCGCTGGGCCGCGTAACGAGCACCCTCCCAGTGTGGCCAGGGGCCCCACGGGCAGGAGACACACTGTGGGGGCCCCCCTTCTTCACTTGAACCTCGATGATCTCCTCCACCTCCACCCACTTCGGTGTGGGGCCCTCAGCCTGGGTCACGAACAGCGTGGGCACGGCAGGCATCGAGCCCGGCTCCCCCTCGGGCCTACGTGGCCCCAGTGGGGAGGGCAGCTCAGGGACCTGGGCAGACAGGCCTGGCCTCCTCGGGCTGGCAGGACGGTAGAGTGGTGAACGAGATGGGGACTTGCTGGGGGACTGGTGCCGGCCACGGGGATTCTTCACCACGGTGGTGATGGTCTCCTCTCTGGTGGGGTAGAGGGCCCGAGAGAGTGGGCCCAATGGCCTCCTCATGCCACACATGGATACCAGAGCCCAAGGGGCAGCAAAGGGTGAGGCTGTACAAACTTCTACACATGCACATAAGCCTGCAGAACTCCAGCCCAAAGCCAAAGGAACAAAGCACAAAGGACTATGTGGTTAACCTCAGCTCCAGTCAAAGCAGCAAAAGGCCCAGGTTACAACCCACAGGCCAGCACCTCCACTGTCTCAGTCAGTCGGCCTCGCCAGGTGGAGATGGGACACAGCTTGTACCCAGGGCTGTACTGCCAGGTGAGCCTGACACTGTGTGGCTATCATAGCTATGGACTCTAGCTTGGGATTCCTACCTGGTCCCATGCCCTACAACATGGGCAGCAGAGTCAGGCTCTGCATGTAGGCAGATCAGACCCTAGCTGGGGCCCTGTGGCTACCTGGTCCTCCTTGGGGTGGTCCTGATGTCTTCCTGGCAGGGCCCCTGGGTGCTGGGCAAAGTGGGCCATGACCACTGCATAGCACATGGCCCTGGCTGCACCTGGACTGGAGGCTATGCTGGAAGACATGGTGTCGCCTGGTGTGATAACTCAACAGGCTATGGCAAAGGCTTTGTCTCTCCTCCTTGACTTTGGTCTAACTTGGGGACTTTGCCCAGGATGGCCCTGGAACACAAGGCCATCCCTGGGTGCCCAGAAGGACAAGTCCTGCCTCCTCTGGCCCCCAGCCAGTGAGGATGGGGAGCTGACAGCCCACGTGGGTCACAAGCCTATTTCTTCATGCTGGCCAGGACACCAGCCTGAGCTGCCTCCCCAATGTGTTGCCTGCCTCGCACTGTCCCCAGAAGGGCACAGGCCCCAGGTCACAAGCGATTTTCTCTTTCCTTTCCTCAAGCTGGAGAGTAAGGGCAGCCACATCCCACACCTGGCACAGACCATGCAGAGGTCTGACCACCCTTTCTTCCAGATCCTCCGCTCTGCTCCTCAGGACCCATCATCCATCAGCTGGGAGTGGTGACAGTGCTTCTTTCTGGGAAGGATGGGCAATGAGCAGTGCAGGCTCTGGCTGCTCCTACTGCAGGATAGGTGCTTACCTACTACGGGATGCACTATGCTCAGTCTCCTCTGGGGGGCGGGGGCAAAGGCCAAGAAGGGGCTGACCTGGGACTCCAGTGCAGGCCACCTTCAGCCCTTTTTGCAAGTCAGAGCTCGTAAAGAGGGGTGAAGAGGTCCTCACCCTGAGGCTCCCACCTCCACCCAAAGTGGCTGCATCAGTCCTGCGCCTGGGCAGATGACCTCCACCTTCTCTGCCCCAACTGCCTCTGTCCCATAACCTTGAAGGCACCTGGGGATGGAGAAAGGGTCAGCAAGGCTGGCCCTGGGGATGTAGGCATCACTGAGCCTCCTGAGCCTCAGTTTCCCCATCTTCCAAACGGGAAAGTTGGGCTCAGAGACTTTAAAGAGCTAAGACCTGTGCTTTCTATTTCTGCTGCACTGTTTAACTTAGATTCAGGTTAGTGAAAAAGCCACCTCGGCTGCACCTGTCAGGCAGGACGTTCAACTCCCTCACTCCTAGAACAGTCTCCAGCTAAGGAACGACACAGCCCTCCATCCCCTCTCCACCCACTCAGTGGGGCTCAAGCCCAAGCCCTGGCCAAGTCGCCTGGAGCTGTGCAGGAGATCTCAGGGAGGTGGTGGGCCATGGGCAGGAGTCCATGGGCAGGGCCCCAGCCTGGCTGCAGGTGGAGGAAGCCCAGCTCTGCAAAGCAGTGGCTGCACAGGTGTCTGGCCGCATCTGCAGGCACAGATGACCAAGGGGAGTAAGGCCACATGGAGGAGGAGCAGAGGTGGCCAGGCCACACAGGCATGGTGCAGAAGTTAGTGGCATGCAGGGCACTGCAGTCAGGGGGAGGATTAGAGGCACAGCTGCACTTACATGATGACGGTTTTCTTGGGGACCTTAGTCTCCTGCTCAGTGACTACAAAGAGAACAGTGGGATAGCGAGGGTTACAGACCCACAGCAACCACAGCTGGCTCAGCGGTCTGTATGGCCTGGTGGTGAGGTGACTGCTCAGCACAGGGGTGCTAGGTCTAAGCCCTGCCTGGCCATGGCACTTGGGTGTGGGGCACTGGGTTCCTCAAACTTGAGATGATTGGCTGGAGTTGGGTGCTGTGGGCTATGCAGGTGCCTGTACTGCTCATGTGGTAGCTTGGCCTCTGCCTCCATCCATGCGGTGGTGGAAAGGATCCTGTTAGCATATGGTCCTGATCTCTGATATATAAACTGAGGCCCAGAGAGAGCACAGGAGTGGCCAGAGCCACTCAGACCAGGACAACCACAAGAAATCCTAAAGACCAAAAGGTGCCTGTCCAGGGGAGAGGGGCCAGAAGTCCTGACACTGGCACTCAAGCTCCTCCCAAGAAGAGTCCTAAGAGTGCCAGGCAGAATGCTGTGCCATGGACAGCTGACCTCATCCCTCAGGAGCCCATCTTCAGTGACTCTCCTAGACTTCTCTACTGCTTCCCTGCCCAACAGCAGAATGGGCTACAGTTCCTGCCTTGCACAAGGAACCTCAGCTCCAGGGACGGGACAGCTCATCCAGGGATCAGACAACACTTCTCCCACATATCCTGGGGTCTCACCCTTGCCACTTCTGGAGGGGGGCAGCTGAACTCAAAGGTGCTCCACTCAGCCTGGACAGCTGGAGAGCAGTCAGTACATCCCAGAAGCCTTTGGAGCCACTTTGTGGGGAGTCTGAGGGGTCAAGGGGACTTGAGGAACTGCAGGGGTTCCAAGAGCTTCCACTTTGCTCACAAAGAAAGGCTTTCTCTAAGCATCTGGCATGTTTTAAACCAGCCTCACACATAGTGCATGTGAATTTAATATACTAATGGTGCCTATGTGTACCCTGGAAAGCTACACATACTGTACATATATGACATGCACACATACGTGTTTTGCATTTATATGTCATGTTGTACATGTGCACAGCTGTGTACACAAGTATGTGTGCATCATTACAGTGCATGTTTGCACATATGTGTACTGCACTATGCATCAGGTGCCTTGTGCATGTGTTCACACATGTGTTATGTGCCATGTGTATACTCCTTACATGTACTACACCTGTGTGAGCATGTGTTCATGTGCTGATGCATATATTGTGCCTGTATTTGCATGCTCACATCTGCATATGTGCATGTATAGGCACTCACATGTGGCAATGCTCGTGTGCTCATGTGTATCCTACATGTGTGCATATCATGTGCCTGTGCATGTGTGTATATGCATGTGCATACTCATATGCATATGCCTGCAAATATGTGTGCACTCACATGTGCATCGTATCTATATGTGTATATGTGCATATACTCACATGTCATATGCATACCTGTTCATATGTGTGTGTGCTTGCATACATTAAGTACATGTGCTGGCATATATTATGTGTCTTGCATACATATGTGTGTGCATGTGCTCATGGTTAAAGACTGTCTGCAGGTATGTCTCTGTGCACGTCCATGTGGATCATGTGCCTGCATGTGTCTGTGCGCATGTGCTCATATGTGTGAACCATGTGACTTGTGTGCATATGTGCATGTGTTCACGCGTGTCTTGTATCTGAATATTTGTGCTTGTCCATGTGTATGCCATGTGTTTGCATTTTTCTATGAGTCTGTGTGTGTGCTTGTTTGTACAGGCTACTCCCTGGAGAGAGGGGAGCCAGCTGCTGAGGACTGACCCAAGGCCCAACTGCAAGTTCTAGATTTGGATGGCACTGGGTTGGATGACAACCAGCACCCCACATTCAGCATAGGGGTGGGAACACCAGGGCTTCTCCTTTACACTCCCTGCACTGCAGGCTGATGAAGGTCTGGCACTTGTGCTGTGGCCCTGAATTCCAGCACTGGACAGTAAGTATTTGCAACTACAGTAGGGGCAGCTGCATGTAGCGGGGCTCCCAGCCAGGCAGATGCACAAGCGAAGGTCCATGCCCACCAGGCTGCAGAGCCAGGCAAGGTGAAGCCACAGACAGGAGTTAGAAAGCAGGATCTGGGCTCTGTTGCCAGGTCTCCAGTGCCAGCCCCCAGCCTGGCCAAGGTACTCATGATCTATCTAGCCCCAGTGGCCCCAGGCCTCTCATAGAAGCATGTGTGCCTGGTGTTATGGGCACTGTCATGGGTCAAAGAATGCCAGGGCCCAAAAGACACAGGCCAGATGGAGGGACTCAGGGTGACAGGTGTTTGGCCGGGTCTTCGCTGCATGAGGGACAAGGAACAGGCCTCTGGCTCCGAGCACACAGTCTCCATTACGGTTGCAGAACACAGAGCCCCAGTGCTGGGAGACTGGTCCCATGGGACACCCACAGTACTGGACTGGTGGATATGAAGGGTGAAGCTCCACCAGAGCTGGCTCCACTCTTACTTGCATGCCCCCAGAAACAGGATGCTTGCCCCCTGCTTGGGTGGCCCCCTCAGGGAGCAGCTCCAAGTAGGCAGCCCAGCACAGGTGCCTTGCTCTCCTCCACGCACAGACTGTCCTAGCACGGCTGAGCCAGCTGGGATCCCAGAGGAGTGATGCCCCATGTCACATTTCACTATCCATCATGAGGCTCCTCTGCAGTCAATCCACTCCCAGAACCTCAGGAGTGGCCCTCAGCCAGGCAAGGATTCTGCATCAGTGTACCCCATGTGGGCCCCACTTGCACTAAGACACCATTCCTGCTGCCGATCAAGCACAGATGTTGCCCCACACTCTGCTGTCTCCCAGACTTCAACCTCAACTGCCAGCCCCACAGATGCCAGTGGCAGCTCATGTCTCCAGCCACAGCCCTCTCTCTCTCTCTATTTTTGGTACCAGGGATCAAACTCATGACCTTGCACTTGTCAGGCAGGTGCTTATCCCGCTGAGCTAAATCCCTGGCCCTAGCCACAGCCCTTTCTTGTGGGACCCCAACCCGGCCCCAAGAAGTGCAGCCTGAGCATGAGAGGTAACATTCAGTACTCCAGAATCCTGCCCAGGCCTACACGAGGTCAGCCTGAAGTGCAGCGTCGGAGTGCCAAGGTGACAGGCGCATGGCAGGACCTACCTTCCATGCCAGCCAAGAGTGGCTCCCTGTGCCACTGGTCCTGGGCCCGAAGCACAGGACTCTGTGCTTTTAGCTCTGTATGCCCTCGAGCTGTGCCCAGCCGGTTCACCAGCTGCAGAAGAGATAAAAGAGTATCCTGGACCCTGCTTCCCATGGGGCCCAGGTCAGCTGTTGGGGCCACATCAGCATCTGTAGTGTGTAGTCCCCACCTTGGCTATGGCCTAACAAGGACAGGGTCTCCTGCAGGGACGGGCTGCTCTTCTAGAAGCACAGATCTTAGACTAGTTTCACATTAATGGACTTAAATATAAACTTAAGCACTGCATGTGGCCAGTGGCAAATATGTCAAACTATGCAAAGTTTCCCAGCTTACCAGTACATCCACGGGGAAGAGTCCCCAGCCAAAACAAAGCCACACAGAGGACCAGCCTCTGAGTAGGTCCTGGGGGAGCTGGTACAGCAAGGGTCAGGGCTCCCAGAGCACTACAGTAGTACCTGGCTACATGGGGTCCCCATAAGGAGCCCAAGACAGGCCTGTGGACACAGGTAACAGGTGCCAGGTACTTTATCCGGAGACAAGGGAGACCTGTAGCTATGGGAGCCAGGAAGGAGGTCCTGCAGCTATGGGAGCCAGGAAGCTGGCTGCAGGCAGGGGACGGCCAAGAATACTCTGGGGCAGAGGTGACATCAATGGCTGTGCCCCCCAGGAAGATGCACCCCCTCATCCCACTCACCTCGCACTCATAGCACCCCAGGTCCTCACACCCGGCTGCTCGGATCACCAGTGCCAGCATCCCACTGCGAGGCTCACTCAGCATCCCATACTTGCTGCCTGGGCTCAGTGGAACCCCGTCCTTGTACCACCTGGAACCCCCAGCAGCCATAAGGTGTGGCCACCCTGGTGTCCTTCTCAGGGTCAAGCCACATCCCCAGCACCAACCTCATAGTCCAGCCTGGCCATACCCCTATCCTGCTGCTCAGAGGCCAGCAGCTATGCCAGCTCAGCTCTGACCCAGGGACAAGCTGACAAGCCCACCTGATCTGAGGGTATGGGGTACCCTCAATGGTGCAGGTGACCTGGGCATCCTCGCCCTCCACAAAGGGCCCGGCCCGAACCTTGCTCACGAACCGTGGTGGGACTGTGGGGAGAGGGGGTGGGAGGTCAGAGACATAAATAGAGACAGAAATCCAGACAAGTATCATGGGGATGATGACAGAAGACATAGGGAGTGGTGAGGAGTGGAAGCCACACTGGCGCCACTGTGCCCCCACAAAGTGCCAGCTGGGCCCCTGGGAGCTCCATCATGCCTGATGCCACTCCCACAGCCCCTGGAACACAGGCACATGCCCACCTTGCACTAGGATCTTCCCTAGGGTGCTGGCACTGCCAGCGGCACTGGCTGCAAAGCACATGTATTGGCCAGAGTCCACGCCCGTGAGGGTGTCCAGGATGAAAGCACAGGAGCCATCAGGGTCTTCAATGAGGATGTGATGAAGGTCCACCTCTACTGGCTTTCCATCTGGAAAGCAGGGCACAGCACTGTCATGGTGATGAAGGGAGTCTGGCCCAAGTCTGTCACTGCCATTTGTCTCTGTTTCCTGTCACCCTCTTCTCTCTGAGAAGAGCACAGCCAGGTGCCAGGTACTTCATCCAGAGTACTTCACCTCTTCTCTATGAGAGCACAGCCAGACCTATCTCTGTCCCTGTCTAGTACAGACACCAGCCAAAGAAGGAGGAGGAAGAAGACCTGCCCCTACAAGGACACCCACTGGAATCCAGACTCGTGGTCACCCTCCCAGAGCCCTGTGATTCCTTGGGACCTCCCCAGTGCTGGGCAAGTCCAGTTCACACAATCCCCACTCACCCCAGCCCATTGCCAGTCCTCAGTCACCACCCAGCAACCTCCTGTCCTCTCACTGCATTGGCACCTGTAGCTTGATGTGGCAGTCAGGTCCCCCAAGGAAGTTCACCAAACCCCTGGGGAGAAGCCCAGATCCAGCACCCAACCTTGGAAGCCTTGCAACCATCCAGAAAAGCCCTTGTGTTGACTCCTTCCTCCACCACCAAGTTGGAGCCACTCAAGGAGACCCTTCCTAGGGCACAGACCCCGAGTCATCCCAAGGCTGACAGGGGCCCGGAAGCATTGACAAGGCAGGGCCCAGTCCTTTAAATTATCCTTTGTATAAAACACACTGGGAGACTTAACAAAATTTGAAAATAGTGCAGAAGGCAAAGAATAGTCTTCTAAGAAAAGTGAAGATTGAACATGTCATAATAATCAACCATGTGGCACCACTCACATGTCGGCCTGAGGCCAGCCTCTTTCCAGGGAGGGGACATTGCCTCCAGAGACCCTGCCTCAAAATGTTCACACTTGCAGACCTGTGCATCCACACATTCCAATGGCTCTGTCTGTGACCTCCCTGCACCCAGGGCCTGAGGCCCAACCTCAAGCTGCAACCTCTTTGCAGGACACAGATGTACAGTTGCCATCCATCCACCAGCATGCTATGGCTTCTGCTCCTGGACTGGGATGTCCCAGTGTCTCAATCTTCAGTCACAGACATTCAAGAGAGATGTTCCCATCCTTTTGGGTCATGTCCATGGAGAGGTCCAGGGAAGTACACGAACATGTCCAGCCTGGCCCCCTGTCCCTTCCCAGTGGGATGACAGGGAGAAGAGGGCAGGTCGAGGCCAGTAGATCCCCAGAGACAGCAGTGGTGATGAAGGGTCGGGAACACTGGCGGTGTGTGGCCAGAAAGGAAGCTGGCCCTGGCAGTGGGCTATAGTCAGCTCCCTGCAGCCACCGCCCTGCAGCATGAACACAGCAGCCATGAAAGGGACCCCACATTGACCAGCAGCTCTGCGGGCACCATGGTCACACTACACTCACAGCTTCACATGCTGATCTTCGTGGCCTTATGACACTTTGGGGACCGTGCTGTCCTCTGGGCAGCCAATCAGGAGTATCATCCTGGCTCTACCAGCAGGCACAGGACTGGGGTCTTGCTGCCCACATGGGCAAAGTCACAATGAGCAGGCTCTGAGCCTGGGCCCTGCCTCTCTCACAACAGTGAAGGGGCCCAGCTCTTTGTGCAGGAGGTGTAGAGAACACCAGAACCCAGCCCAGTGAGGCCCTGATTCTCCCCTTGGTGGCCAATTCTGGCAGACTCTGAGAACAGCACGAAAAATGGGCCCAGCACACTTGTGGGATGGAAACGGCAACCTCACTGCACCAAACATGCAGCTGCTTTCCCAGTGGAGTGCTCTGCTCCTGCTCCTCAGCTCATGCAGACAGCTGGTTCTGCACAGCCAGGATCTGTTACGGAGCCCCACGAGAGGCCTGGACTTGGGCCACCAATCACCCAGCAAAGCAAAAGCCCATCAGAGAACACCAACCACTGCACCACCCAACCCCACACCCAGGTGGTCAGGTCTTTGCTCCACAGCATAGGGGAGGCCATCCATCCTCACAGCTGTGCCCGACACACAGCTGTGATCTCCAGGGAACAGCCAAGGGGTCACACTGTGTACACTAGTAAGGTTCTTGGGCCTTCCTGGCTGGAACCCAGGTGTTGAACCTGCCTCTATTCTATACAGTGACATGAACCTTAGGGTGGTCCAAAGGTCCACTGGTGTAGGACACCCTACCCATGAATCATGTGACCCTAGATACCAGTAAGTCTCTCATACTGAGGCTACCAGCCACGACTGGGGCTCAGACATGATGACCAGTGTTACTTACAGCAGGGCCCTTCCATCAAAAGACAAACATAGTGTTCCTGCTGCCAACTCAAGTGCACACTGAACCCCCCAGCCAGAGGTGCTGAAGTGGGTCTCTCATGGCCAACGCATGATGACCGCAGCTGCCCCCCCCCACACACATAAAACTGACACACTCCTGTGGACACGGAAGCATCCAGGCAGGTAGAGCAGGTGACACTGCTCCCAACAGATCAGGAAATGTTGCACCTGGTATTGTAAGGTTCCAACTGGACCCGCCTCCCCCAGCCCCCAGCCTGCTTGCCAGCAGAAGCACTACTCTCTGCAAGAGCTAAGTTTTCAGAACTTAGCTCAGTTCCCTCTTATGGCAAGCACAGAAAAGGAGATGACATAGGACAAGGAATTTTGCAGCTCCTGGGACATCTGGAGACATCCAAGGATCCACATTGGCCACTTCAAGGACCCTGCTCCCTGAGATGCAAGAGTGCCAAAGAACTTTGACCACAGATGCTATTGGGGTCTTCCCACCTAATGTCCCCTGCCTTCTCTCCATTCCTATAAAAGGGACACACTTCCCCTGGTTTGCAGCAGACAGAATTATCACACTTTCCGCCTGAACCCAGGCACAATAAATTCCAGGCCATATAGCCTTTAACCAAGCTTGGTGGTCTCTACTGGATTTTTCCTTCCCTCGTATGTCAGAGGTACATAAAGCAGTGCCACACCTAATATATCAGAAACGCTGCCCCTGGCACACCAGACAATGCTGCCCACAAGGCAAGGCAGCTGCACCCGAAACATTGCGCAAAGCCCACACCTGATGCATGAAGCTTTGCTGTCCTGATCAAAAGCCACGGACCACTGCCTGGTCACCAACTGTTCAGCTGGCAGACATGGACCATGGGGCAGGTATGAGTCTGTGTGCACAGCATGTGTATGTATGTGGTGTCCCTGTAGTACTGGTGTGTGCACAGCCTCTGCATGTGTATGGTATCCCTGCAGTGTTTATGTTTGTGTGCACAGCACCTGTATGTGGTGTCCCTGTATGTGCCTGCAGTGTTTATGTGTGCACAGTATCTATGTGTACACATGAATGATATCCCTGGGTGTGTGGTTCCTTCTGTGCCTGTAGTGTTTGTACGTACATGTGTGTGATCTGCCTGTGTCTGAAGTGTTTGTAGATGTGTTCAGTGTGAATTTACATGTGTGAATCTGTCTTTTATATGTATGCATGCATAGGCATTGGTGTGTACTATGTGTATGTAGAGTACACTTTGTATACATGTATGTTATCTTTGTGTGTACATATAACAATCACATCACATACGTATGGCACATGTGGCATATACACAGATAAAGCACTTCTCTTTGTGGGTACATGTAGCATGTGCACACATGTGTGTACCACAGCATGCCCTCACAAGTATGCACATACAGCCCTGCAGAGTACATGACTCTGACCCTGGCCAGTTCTGGGTGCCCTTGTCTTACCCCCTGGCCATCCCTCCTTATGGCTCCCCTCCCTCCACTCATGTCTTCCCTCTGGAAACCCTGGAGTCCAGCCTCAACCTGGAACTCAGGTCCTCAGCCCTCCTGGCCCTCACCCAACATCTGCCCCAGCTAGCAGGGTTGGTCACATCACCTCATCACAGGCCAGATTGCCCTGTGACATCCCAGCCCCTCATTGTCCCCTCACCAGGCATTGCTGTCTGTGCCAGGTGCTCCCCTGGGTCCTCCTACCTCCATCAGTGGAGCCAGATTCTGTGCCACTACCTGGACCCAAGCTCCCCACCCTCCAAATGCACCCAGGACATAGCAAAGCCCCTGGGCCCAGCCCAGCATGATGCCGGAGTCCCTACTCTTCTCCATGTCCTCTCAGCCTCTCCTGCATCACAGCCACACTGACGGACAACTGAAGCCATCTGTATCTGTCCCTCTGCTGGTCAGGAAACCATGGGGCTTCCATGCAAAGCCCTCTTGACTGCACCCAAGGCTCAGGGCCTCCCCTGGCTGGTTATACCCCATGTGCTGCCACCGTGCCATGAACAGAACAGTGCTGCCAGGCAACTCCATCATAAGGGGATAACTGACAGTTCATGTGTGACACCAGGCTCTGCCCATGGCCTCAGTCTGGATCCTCTGCTCCAGCAACCTAACCATAGTGAGTCCTTCCAGGGAGTGAGGATGTGAGGCTGCTGGCAGGCCCTGCACCAGCATGAAATTACTCTGCCTCAGTGTCACAGTGGCTCGCAGCTCACCACAGCTCTCGGACATGGTACTGGGAGGCCAACCCAGCTCTGTTGCTCCCCCTGTAACTTCATGTCATAAGTTTCCTTGCATGTCACTTGTCCCTATGTCAGCCTCTGGCCAGGCCTGGCCCATCCAGGTTCCTCCTGGCCCAGCCCTGATCCCCACACCCGGCCTGGGCCTTTGTAGCCACCTCTCCTGGGCACCCTGCCTGGCACAGGCCAGCACCTGGGCAAGGAGGCTGGGGGCCCTAGCCCCAGGCCGCACCTTTGTACCAGCTGACCATGGGCTTTGGGGTGCCTATCACACGGCAGGCCAGCTTCACCGTCTCGCCCAGCTCAGCCGTGCAGTCAGCCAGCTCCTCTTCAAACTCTGGGGCACCTGCAAGGACACAGAGGTGCCAAGCACTCCATGAGGGAGGCAAGGTGTGCATCCCCCTCGGGTCCACCCTGGTAGGCTTTCCAAGCCCCTACCAGTTGCCCCAAATCTGTAGGTGTGGGTACTATCCAACCTCCCAACCCAGCCAAGGTAGGGGTGGTGTGGGACACTGGGGAGGAGCTGTGAAGGAAATTCAGATACAGACCCCCCCACACACACACCTGACAGGGGTCCAGGGATGCCCCAAGCTGGGGCCCACCCTATTCCCCGTCCCTGGAGTCAGCCCAGCTGAACACTCGCTCAGGCTCCTGGTACACCACTGCCAAGGGTCCCCACCCAGGGTTGACCCACCCTCTAGGAAAGTCTCCTGGCCACCGAATCAGCCCAAGCCCAGTCCCACTCTCAGGAGACTCACTCCACACGGGCAGAGCCAAGCGCTGCTGGATGCCACAGATCTCCTTCACCCACGAGCTCTTGATGACAGCTGTGCGTGCCTGCAGCAGGTATTTGCGCACGGAGTCTTCACGCTCGTGCCACACCTCAAAGGCACGGTCATCCCCCTCCACCTGGTCATTCAGGTCGATGCTGCTCAGCTGTGGATGGGTGCAGGCGTCAGTCGGGGGAGAACTTAAGAAGCTGATCGCAGGCCCCACCTGACAGAGCCCCAGCCCCTAGCTGCAGACCTTCATCATGGTACGGAACACATAGCTGAAGGTGTCGGTGCGTGAGTCCCGCCGGGGCTTGCAGATCACCAGGTGATGGCGGAAGAGAAAGACATGGCGGTTGTGGCCCTTCCAGGGCATCCGGGCTCCCGGTGCTCCCTCCCACACGATGAAGTGGCCCTGGGGAGGCATGCGTGGTTGGTCCGTCTGCACACCCAGTCCTGGGCAGCCCAGTGATCCCCCACCATGGCCATGGCACACCTGGCGAATGGGCTCCCCAAGGGCCTCCAGGGTCCCAGGATAGTTCTCCATAAGAGACACATGCAGCTTGTTCTCTGCACGCTGTGGCAGGGCAGACACCACAGCATAGGCCTGTTCCAGCAGTGCACAGTTCTGCCTGTTGCGTGCCTTGTTGCGAATCAGCTCCTGAAGGCCAAGGAGGGGCAGAGTCAGGTGTGGAGGAGACCCAGCTCTACTTTCCAGAACCACACAGCTGGATCCTGGACCATACCTTCAGCAGAGCCTGGTAGCGCTGCACACGCTCCACTGGCAACTCCAGGTAATGCTGCAGTGGGAGTGGAGGGGGCTGCGTGGGGTCCTTGGCAGGCAGCATTTCCTCCACATACTTCTGCAGGAAATGGGGTGGAGGTCAGACAGAAACACACACCCCCTCTGCTGAGGTTGCTATGAGCCTTCAGATGGCTAGGGCAACACAACTCGCAGCTTGTGAGGGCCAGGATACTGGGCTCAGGAGCAGCAGGCAGGGCACCTTGTAGAACTCCTGCACTGGAGTGCTGACAACTATGGCCTCAGCCTGCACACGGCCCACCAGGAACTCCAGGTACTTCTCGAAGGCCTCCTGGTTCTTGATGAAGCACATGGCCACATCATCATCTGTGTCACAGTGCTGCAGCTCCTTTAGAAAGCTGCCAGAGAAAACACAAGTGTTCAAGGCTCCCACACAAGTGCATATGTGTACTCTGTGCTCACATGTGCATGCACACATCCAGGTATATAATGTAGTGTGTCTATGCCGACACAGTGTGTTATATTCATGTGTGCTTACTTCCCCGTTTTCAGTATCTGCACACACAGAAGACATACATGTGCAGTATGTGCAAGGATATGCACTTCACACCAGCATGTCTTGCATGACTAAGAGTGCAGGTGTATATAGGTCTCTTCATGGGTGTGTATACAGGGCATGTGGATGCACATGTGTACCGTGCACACAGACATGCATGTAAGGGTGTGCACAGGTGGATGTGTTCACCGATGCCCATATGTGTGTGTGTGCATACATATGAGGTTGTATGGCAGGCCTTCCTGTATGCAAGCCAGTGTGCACATCACCAGATAATAAACTATGTCATGTTCCACCCAGCCCCTGCCTGGCCCTCAGCCTGCAGCCCCACCTGCTATGGAAGCGGCCAATGTCCTTCACGTTGCGAAAGATGACTTCCTTCTGGCTGGCCATAGCAGCGGGTACATGAGGACAGCGTTCCAGATGCTGCATATGGTGGCTCTGGAGGAAGTGTAACTCACCCACAAAATCCTGCTCTGAGCCGAGCAGCTCCTGGATGACAGCACTGTGGAGAAGGTCACTCATGAGGGGATTGGGGCCACATGGCCCTGCCAGCATCAGTTCCAGGGGGCCTCAGCTCCTTGTGTTACTCAGTGGGGCAGGGCCTCCTGTTGCTGTAGCTGCCACTGCCAATCCAAGCAGGGTGAAGAGTAGAGGCACCTCTCTTCCACACAGCATCCCTACCAGCAGGATATCATGGGGACAGGGCAGTGGGCCACCCTCTGTCCTCAGCCTCCATCACCCTGGGTCAGCACTTGTGGCCCCTAGAAATAACCACGTGGAGGCCCCAGCCCAGAGCCAGCAGGGTCTAGCTATGGAGCCAAGGCTGCCCTTGCTTTGCACACTTGCCTGAGCTTCGACTTGTACTCATCTTCAGACACAGCCTCCCCAGGGAACTCAGGAGCCTCAGGGGGACCCCACTCAGGTGACAACTGTGAGGGGTGGGCAGAGGTCAGGCTGTGGCCCCGTATAAGGACGTGGCCAGGGACCTCCTTGCCTGGCACCAATACCTTGAGCCTCTTGTCCAGGTAGGCAGGGGACACCCAGCCCTGCCGAGAGGGGCTGGACTTGGTGGGCTTGGTGCGTACGAGCCAGCGCAGGGGGTGAGCTGCATCTAGCACCTCCACATACTGCCCCTCCCGAAGCGCAATGGCATCCTGCTCAGCTCCCAGGGGCAGGTAGTTGGCAGTAACCACGTAGATGTCAAAGATCTGACAAGAAGGACAGTATGCTAAGCAAAGCAGAAGAGGGGCACCAGGCCACTAAGGCCCCAGCTGCCCTCAAGATCTGAGGGAAGAGGGAACTCCAGCCTGTCATGCCCAGACTTCAGGGCAGGAGTGCCCCAGTGATAGAGCTCCTCAGGGCTGCCACCCACAATGGACACCAGGAACAGGGGTCCAACAGAGGTCATCACACTTCCCATGTCTGTATGCCACCCATAAGATTCATCTGAGCACGTGAATGGAGGTTCTACCTGGAAGCCAATCTGCAAAACCTTCACATGTGAGTACCCAGCTAGGCTGCCACCTATTGGGAGGATCAATTCCTCCTGGCCTACTCTTTGGTCTTGGTCACCCACCTCACCATGGGAGTCCCCATCCTCTGACTCTGAGGAGGACTCCTGCACGCTGGACGAAGGCCGTGACCGGCCATGCCGAGGCGATGCAGATGGTGTCTTGGACTCCTCATCACTGTCACCTCCAGGTACCTGCAGCTTGGCTGGGGGGCAGGGCTCAGGGTCATGACACCCTGGAAAGACTGTCCCTAACTGCCTCCTGTGCAGTCAGACCCCAGGGGCCAGTGTGGAGACAAACCCAGGGGCCTAGCACAAGGGGTCACAGTTCCCACACCACAGGCCCTGGTCTCACCCTGCGTGATCTTGGCAGACACCATCTCAGTGATCTGGGAGGTAAGCTTCTGCAGAAACTCCTCTGTGCCCACCTCAGAAAGGGACAGGTGGCTTCGTGCTTCCCCAGCCACCAGGGTCTCCCCTAGAGGGACATACAATTACCCAGCAGGCCTGCAGGCCAGCCTCAGCTGGGGGCCAACAGTGAGCACCAGGACATGGCTGTCTAACAGGAGTGATGCTCCACTGCACAGGTCCAAAGCCATGCTGGCTCATGGGCATCTGAGCCAAGGTGTGGCCCACAGGGCAATGGGCAAGAGGAAGCAGGGCTGGACAGAGGAGACAGTGGGTGACCAGGGACAGCAGGCACTGTCAAAAGACGGTGGGTGGCGGGAACAGCTGCAGGGTGGAGGGCAAGGGATCGAGAACAGAGCTGGTCAAACCAACCATCAGGTTCATGGACATGGTACCTGGGCATCTGCAAGCTTGTGGGTAGGCACATGGGGGTCAGAAACAGCTCCAACCCTCAAGGATCTGTCTGTGTTCTTCCTGAGAAGGTGAGCCCTGATCCCAGAGCCCATAGCCACTCGAGGAAGAAGCACTGGTCCAGGGCAGCCATCACTCACACTCCCACCAGCACAGGGCTCAAGTGCGCACCCTTCTCATACCTTTCCTCTGTCCAGCTGGACTGGCGACACCCACAGATTCCAACACCTGTGCAGAGATGGCTTGAGTGGTCCTGGTGGGAAAGGGTATCCTGAGAGACCAGGCTGCACCATGGCGCAGAGAGAAGCTTGGGACAACAGACCAGGATGTAATAGTTGGGGTCCCTGTGCCAGCAGACCCCGTGGAAGCCCCGCTTTAGTGTGGAAACTGAGGTATAGAAGGCCTGCATGGGGAAGGGTACTCCCATCTTTATCCTAGCCCTTGTAGCCTTGCCACATCCCCACTTACTCCTGCAGGAAAGAGGAGATGAGGGCTGCCTGGGCCTTCTCTGGCTCCTCCTCCCGGGGCACTGTTAGGAGAGCAGACCTTCAGATAAGGATCCTGACCTGAGCCCAGGCTGCCTGTCCATCTCCCAGCCTATAGCCACCTCGCTAAAATAGGGGCTGGGGGATGGATCCAGGGGCTGAGATATAACCCCAACCTGCTGCACTGAGGGTTGATCCGTCTCTGAGGCCCAGGTGGGTCCCAGGACATATAAGGAGACAGACCACACCCCAGTGGTGCTGGCATCACCCCCACTCCACCACCCACCCCACTCACAGCCAGTGACATGTAGGCTGGCAGAGCACAAGGCTTGGCCAGCAGCGTTGGACACAATGCAGGTGTAAGTGCCCTGGTGCTGTCGGCCCACGTCTAGCAGGACCAGGCTGTGCTGCTGCCCTGAGCTGGCCACTGTGTAACCTGGGGTGTTGGGGCTGATCCACAGCACTCCTTTCTCCACCTCCTCCCGGAGCCAATGCACATCGGGGACCGGGCATCCTGGGAGAGAAGCAGGTACTTCATGGGAGTGGCCCATGTGCTGGCCTCCCAGGGACAGGGTGTACCTTGGGGCAGGACCCACCCAACCCCAGCGATAGCCCAGTTCCCAGAATGGGTCCAAACCACCTCTTCTGGAAGACAGGTCCAGTGCCTGGTTCCAGGCCTGTAGGGACCAAGGTCTCTATAGGGTATGCTGTCCCTGACCCTCTGAGGTGAGGTGGGGGACATCACCCCAAGAATTGCCTACCTTCTACCTTCACAGAAAACGTGATGCTGGAGCCCTGCTTCACCTTCTTGGAGGTGAACTTCTCTAGGATCCGGGGTGGCACCAGCTGCTCATGCACCTCTGGAAGGTGTAGGTCACTCACTAGTGGGAACCCCAAGAACTTCCACCATGGCTATGGTCTGCGTGGCCCATGCTTCCCCTGGACCCCTCTTCCATCCCAGGCGTAGGACAGCATCTGAGCCTGCCCACCAGGACAGCTTACCTGATGCCAGCTTCTCCCCAGGCTCCTCGGGGCCTGGAAGATGCAGAGAGTTGCATGTCAGCACACACTGCCCCCTTAGCCACAGGAGGCTGTGAGGGGCCCTGGCTGATGCAGAGGACCTAAAGCATCCCCAGCCCATGGCAGAGGCTCTCAAGTCTTTGCTGGGACATCAGCCAGAGAGCCACGGCCACACACTCAGCTTGGCTCACAGGCAGCTGCCATCCACTGATCCCACTAGGAACTGAGGCCTCAGCTGCAATTATTCTGTGGACACTCACACATGTAGTGGCCAAGGGTCACACCTGTGGTGCCCAGCAGACCACGGTCATACTTGGAACTAACTCCCAGTGACAAGAGGGAAATGTGGACCTTCCTTTGCAGTTCCTCAGGGGCCCTGCCCTCCCCCCACAGGCACCTGGCCACTTTAGCCACAGTAATGCTGCCCACAAGGTACACTCCAAGAACTCAGCTCGCCCAGGCCCTGGGGCACCCACCACAGACCACTAGCCAGGCAGATGAGTAAGCGTTGCCCACAGCATTGCTGACAAAGGCTGAGTACTGGCCAGCATCTTCCCGGGTGACAGTGACGATCTCCAGGGTATGTAAGCTCTTCTTGTCAGTCATGTGAACATGGGCAGATGCAGTCAGGGGCTGGCCATCCTTAAACCAGTACAACCTGGGGGCTGGGTAACCTGGGGTGCAGAGAGCAGCCTTCAGCACAGAGCTGGTGCCAGTGAACACTGTGTCCAACCCAGGGCCACCTCCCTATGGGCACCATTCCTCCAGAGGAGAGCACCCCAAAACCACCATGTTACTGTCTCCTGTGTGTCCTTCTGCAAACCCACCTGAGCCCAAATGCCCACCCACCCAGCTGGCAGTCCCAGCCCTGGCCCTCACCTTTCACCCTGAGCTGGAACTTGGCCAGACGTGTGCCTGGGGCCACCTGCAGGTCCTTTAATTCCTCCACCACCTGAGGTAACTGTCCCTCATCTGACTCCGTGCCCTCCTGCTCCTGGCTGTCAGGGAGGACAAACACAGGACAGCCAATGAGTGGACCTAGAGGGGCCACAGAGGGGCCACAGAGGTAGAAGTCAGATGTGGGTGGAATCCTCAGCTTAGAGCAGACAGACAGAGACCACCAGGCCTGACAGGAGGCTCCAGGATCTGCCAGATCAGTCCACCCTCATTGACTGGATGCCAAAGGCCCTGGACATCAGTCACTGGGTCCCATCGTCTGCATAACCACCACCCAGCCAGGTGCCCCCAGTCCCATGCAGCCCCACCTGGATAGGTATCCCTGGGCACTGAAGTAGGATGAGGTCTCCGTGGCATCAGCTGCAGTGTCATAGTCTGTGCTGGTCACTGGAAAGGAAGGGGGAGCTGGAGGTGATTGGGGACACAGCCTGGTGTCAAAAGGAGCAGTACCCAGAGTACCAGCCCATGGCTCGCCACCAACCTCTCTCACCAAAGAGCATAACCATCACACTGAGGCTTCCTAAGTGTACGAGCAGTGACAGTGGGGGAAACTTCCTGCTCCATCCTACCAGGCCAGAGGGCCAGAGAGACACAGCTGAGATCTTGGATTTTAGGCAATGTGCGCAACAGGGTCTGGATGCACCAGTATGACAGATGGAGCCTTTGTGTCCTCCACAGACTGACCCTGAGGGTGCTGTGAGGGGCCTTTGGAAGGGGTAAGGTCCTAAAGTGAGGTCTCAAGACCCATGTTACCACCCTTAAAAAAACAAGTGGGTATAGTGGTGCACACCTGAAATCCCAGAACTCAGGAAGCTGAGGCATGAGAACCTAGAGCAGCCCAAACTGCACAGTAAGACCCCATCTCAAGACAAAAAAAGGAAGAAGGAGGCTGGGCCTGTGGCACATGGTAGAACACTTGTTAGCATGCTCTGGGTTCAGTCTCTAGGATCACAACAAAATAAAACAAAAATGCAAACTTCAGGAAAACTATAAATCCAGTTCCAAAAAGCTCCACAAACTTTAAGGATAAGGAATGTGAGATTATAGTACAGCAAAGAATACTGCAATCAAATTACCAAAAACCAGCCACAGAAAGTGAGATTTCCTGACCCCCACCCCAACAGCCCCAGAGGGTGCTCTGCTTCAGACTTGGCTCCTGGGAAATCTCCACTGGAGACATGGTGGCCCCGACCCTGCCCAGTCTGACCCCTGTACCCTGATCATCCACCTAACGGCACTCACGCTCCACACGAAGCTCAGCCTTGGTGGAAGAGACTCCAACACTGTTCTCAGCAAGGCAGCGGTAGACGCCCATGTCCGCAGGCACCACGGCAGTGATGATGAGCTGGTGACCACCCTGTTGGTCCTCATTGATCATGTAGTGGTCATTCTCCTCCAGCAACTTTCCGTCCTTGAACCAACGCACACTGGGCAGAGGCTGGCCTGTCACCATGCAGTTGAAGCTGACAGGGTACCCATCCTGCACCTCTTGGTTCTGCAGCTCCATCAGGAACACAGGGGCTGGGGCAGGCAGAGGCAAACCTGAGTCACCCTGGGCAAGCAATCACCCCAGCTGCTTGGCCAGCACCTCGCCCAGATGGGCGTGTGATGCACAGGGTTGTCTTGGACGCATCTGCAGGCCTGTGGGCTGCCTGCTGACTATTCCCTCTGCCTCCAAAAATTCCCTCTCGGACACCAAACTTCTACCACCAGAGGCAAGAGGGATGCAGGAGGAGGACAGGCAGGAAAGGTGACAGCTGTGTGAGCTGAGAGATCTAAGGTGTAGAATTCCTCAACATCCAAGAGAAGCTTCTGGGAATCAGGACACTTAGGGTCATCATCTAGAACTAATGCTGAGTGACTGCTACCCTGGGGAGCCATAGGCAGAGCAGACCACAGGAATTCTCTTTTTACAGGTCACACCCCAAAATCTTGTTAAGGGAAACAAACCTCCAGGAAAGCAAGCGTTCATATTCTCATCAAGAGTGAGAGATCTGAGGCTTGGAGAGGCTGAAGCAGCTGTCCCACAGCAAGCACACAGACCCTCCCACTGGGCTTTCTCTGGATGGACTGCAGTGCCTGCTTGCTTCTCCAGACACTGCCTACCTACCCTCCTCTGCTGCTATAGCTCCAGTGCCCACGGTCGGGGCCACTGCCCACTCACCAGTATCAGAGGGCGGCAGGCTGGGTGCTGGCTCCAGGGGCATGGCAGGGACAGGTGCCACCTTGCCTATGCGCATTTCCACCACCCGGGGCCCCTGTTCTGTGAGGCTGATGTTCACCCCAACACCCATGGTGGCAAACATGTTCCGAAAGCAGGTGGCAGCCCGGCGGGCCTCTTCGAGTGCTTCAAAGTGGATACAGATGAAACGCTCATCCTCATGGTAAGTCTGCCCATGGTCGGCAGGCTCCTCAGGCTCTGCAGGGCCTTCATCTGCGCTGAGGAAGAGCTCCTCGTCTGATACCTCAGCAGGGGCCTTGGTGCGGAAGAGCCGGTGCAGGCGCCGCGCAGCCCGACAGAAGGCTTCGTCCAACTCTGTTCCCGAGGAACTCTCAGCCTCACTCTCTGTGCCACTGACCACCACATAGGCACTATGGCTCACCTGTCCGAACTTGCTGCTCACCCGACACGTGTAGCAGCCAGCATCAGCATGTCCAAGGCCAGTGATCAGCAGAGAGCAGGTGCCATCCCCCAACTGGTCAATGTGGTGGTGTTGTCCATCTGTCAGCTCCACGCCATCCTTCAGCCAGCAGGCCTGCACGTCCGCCTTGCTGGCCACCACACACTCCAGCCGCAGGGCATCACCCACCTGTACCTCTGTGTCCCCAAAGGTGTGGGAGAAAACAGGCCCTTCCTGCTGCTTCATCTCCTTGCGGGTCTTATAGCCCTTGAAGGCGGCCTGGATCTTCACAGCCGCTTTGTCCATGGAGGGGTCGCCCAGATCTTCAGCACTCGAGTCTCCCAAAGGTGAGTGCACGGTGGCGGGCTGCTCCTGCTGTCTCTGGTGCTTCACAGAGGGAGCATCTGGGGCCCTAAGCTGGGGACACAGAGTGCAGTGTCACAGTGGGGCAGAGAAACAAGGGAGGAGGGTAAGGTCAGGGCCCAGTGCTCCATCCTGTCCCCACCCACTGGTGGCCACACGCCCCTCCTGACACAGCTAGGAAGAACAGGAGGCCAGTCCCAGCTCTTCAGAGAGCTTCAATAGCCGCTGAGGGGATAAATGGATGTGTAGATGGAAGGACAGAGATGTACAGGTGAATGGAGGGAGGCTTAGCAGGTGCAAGGATGACTGAAGAAGCAGACAGAAAATGTGTGGCAAATGCACAGATGAAGGGACAAAGGATGGAGGACAGCAGGTCAGCAAGTGGATGGATAATGATGGGAAATGGATGAGTGGATGGGTGAGAAGATACACAGGTAAACTGACAGGTACATGGATGAAAGTACAAAAGGGAAGGACCAGTATGGATGGATGCGGATAGGGGGTAGATGGAGGGACGGGGGATGGACGGTCTCATAAATGGATAAATGGGTAGACACAAGAACAGATAAATGAATGAACTAGAAAGCAGGTATAGAAGTGGTAGATAAATAGTAGATGGATGGTAGGGTACAGTTCAACAAACCAATTGATGCATAAGTGGTTAAACGGGTGTGCAGTTGCAGGAGAAATGGGTGGTGGATGAGAGGCAGAAAGTTGGATGGATGGACAAGCTAAACGGACAGATAAAAGACAGTGGTAGATCATGGACAGAAGGGCAGATGGATGATGGGAGGATGGACTAATGGACAGCAGAAAGGAAAGATGGCTGGAGGTGGATGGATGGAAGGAAGGATGAGTATGTGGAAGATTGACGGTAGAGGTCTAAGACACTCAGACTTTGTGGTGCCAGGCAGGAGGCTCACCTTACTGGCCACGGGTGAGGCCCCGGGCCTGCCAGCCTTCTTGAGGTAGGTCACCAGAGAGGGGGTGCCTGCCCGAGACTCATCATCTGAGCTCGTGTGTGAGAGGTCAGCCTCTCCTGTGCGAGCCAGCTCGTCCGCAGTAGAGTAGTCCTCGGAGAGGTCAGGTGCCACCTCCTCCACGTCCTGCTGCAGGCACTGAGCTCGGCTATCCTCCTCAGGCAGCTCACTGATAGAATCCAGCGTGGGCTCACGGCTCATGCGGCGCTTCCGGGCCAGTGCTTCCCAGAGCAGGTGCAGATCTCCCTCTTGGGCTGCCTCTGGGGGCAGGCTGGGTTGTGTGGGGGCCTCATTCCCAGAGATTGGACTCAGAACCACTGAAGAAAGCAGGAGATCAGTCAGGCCAGGATGGACCTGACAGACCCACCTCTGCTACTACCCAGCATAGGGCCTGGCCGGTGGCCTCAATGGACACCTGCTTCCACTTAGCGCCAGGTACTTCAGCATCTTGGAAGCAGTGTACCCAAGCCCTCCTAGTACTTCCAAGGCTAGCTTGTCTGTCTTCTCCATGGGCACATGGTGACAGATCTGTCAAGCCCAACAGGCCTTATGTCAGCCCTTCCTCTCCCTGCTGCTAGAAGAGGAAGCAGAGATGCACTTAGTCCATCACCACCCAGGGAGGAGACAGATGCCCATGGCTAGTGGTATGGACAGACTCTGTGGGGGAAGGGCCTAAGAGCCAGAGTGGGGCTCAAATTGAGGGTGGGATCAGAGAATTGGCAGGTTTTAAGGTGTGAAGGGGTGAGTAGGTCAAATGCCAAACAGACCCAGCACCCAGAGAGGCTCAGCAAGCAAGGGGTGCTATCTGAGGAGCATAAGCACTCTTGGGAGGTCACGCGGGGATCAAGGGCAAGATGGAAAGCAGAGACACCATGGACTGCCACAAGGCATCAGGAACAGCTGGAGAGTCACCCTCATATCACATAGGGTATCTCACAGACCCTCGGTTTTTCCCCACATTCCAAAGCCAGAACATACCCTTGAAGGTGGCCACCTCAGTGTCCGGGCCCTGGGCAGGGCCACAGTGGTACTCGCCCTGGTCCTCAGCCTTGAAATCCCTGATCACCAGCATCTGTCGCTGGCCATGAGAGATGACCTCAAAGTGCCCGCTGGGCTGGATGCGCTCTGTCCCCTTGTGCCAAATGACTCCCTCAGCCTCAGCCACCATCTCCAGCTCCAGACAGACATCCTCACCAGCTGCCACTTGCCGAGTCTCCAGGGCCATCGGCACAGGAGGCTTGGGCTCTGCAGACCTAGGCTCAGCAGGCTCTGTGGGAACAACACGTGGACAAAGGACAGGAGAGCCATCAGCTGAGCCACATTGCAGGGCCAAGCCCAAGCACTCAGCTCCACCCTGTTGCCAGGATGGAAGGGCCACTCACCCAGCCGGACCATCTGGGGCAGGTGTACAGGTTCCCCAGCGCCAGCCGGGCCCACAGCTGCCACACGGAAGCGGTAGGTTTCCCCAGGGGCCAGGCCATCCACCACACATTCAGGCCCTGGCACCAGCTCATGGCACAACCGCCATTGGCCCGTGGACCCCTCTTTCATCTCCACCCGGTAGCCACAAAGACCCCCACCACCATCACTGGTGGGAGCTGCCCAGGACAGTGTCACCGCGTGACTGCTGCGTGCCACAACCTCAGCATCCTCCGGGGGATCAGGGAGTCCTGTGGAAAGCAGGAGGTCAGTGTGCCCGTGGGGCCTGCAGCCCTCAGCAGCCACCTGCACAGACACAGGCTCCACCCTGAGCTCTGTGAGCCTGGAAAGCAAGGGACACATAGCACAGTGAGATGGTGCCAGAATCCACTGGGGGTGGTGCTGCTGAGAGCCCAGTGTGCCACGGCTGAGTGGCCCTCATTCTTCCTGGCCATGCTCTGCCTCAGGACCCCACCACACCTGCAGGAGAAGCTTCCCATGGTGCCAGGCAGGTCCACACGACCCAGCTCTCCCCTCCCTGGGGCCTCACCCTGACCCACCCAGCACAGACAGCCATGCTGAGGTCACTGCATCATGGGCAGCAAAGGTGACCTCGCCAGCATGGCACGGACGGGCATGGTGCAGCAGCAGGGCATGGTGGCTGCCTTCGGAGATCACCATCCAGTCTGTGTCATCTGCAAGCACTGCCATCCCGTTGAGGTACCAGGTGGCCTCGCCCACGGGAATTGCCTCACTGAGCACACAGGAGAAGCGGGCCTGGCCACCAGCCTGCACCACCATATCACATGGGTGTTCGAGGATCTCCAGGCGCCATCCTGAGGGGCACAGTGGGGGATGACTGGGGACACTGGCCCCCCAGCCCTTGTCACATGCCCCTTCCCCCTGACTCTCTCAAGCAGCCTCCAGCAGGCAGTCCTCTGGCTACCCAGACTGGTGCTTGCAGCCCACAGAGCTTCGGCTGGGAGCAGGGTCGAGCCCCATTTCCTGTCTGTCTCTCAGCCCTGCTGTCCTTGAGTCCAGTCACCCTAGAGAACTCCAAAGCTCATGACCCTTGAGCCATGCAGAGCACCTGGGGACAGAGCCTCCGAGACCCCTGCCCCACCTATGAGGCCCCCACCCACTGCTCCCTTTTCCAGTCTCAGAATCTCAAAAGCCAGCCCACCCCCATCCCCTTCCACCCCGCATCACCTCTGACAGTGAGGAAGGCAGAAGTGACCACATCCCCAGCCAGGAAGGTGACCCGGCAGCTGTCCTTCGGTTGAAGGTTCTTGAGCAGTAGCAGGTGACGCAGGCCACCCTCGAAGTAAACAACTTCAGCATTCTCCGATGTCCGCACTGGCTGATCGTCCAGCAGCCATGTGTGTGCTGCCACCTCCGGCCGTGACAGCTGGCACTCGAACAGTGCTTCGCCCCCCTCGGGTGCATCCACATTCTCCAGCCCTCGGACCACTGTGTTCTTGGCTGCAGAGAAGGACAGTGGCTTAGGGGTGCGGGGCCCCCAACACTGTGTCCTGGGAGATGCCCTCAATGACATGGGGGCAAGTAGGATGCCACCCAGTGAGCACAGGGTACCTGACCACTTAGGATATCCTTAACCCCCAGACACTCGGAGACAGATGAAGCACAGCCCATCCAGCTCAACCCCAGTGCCAGGGTGAGTCACCCTCCCCTCTTGGCTCTCTGTACCCCAAGGCCAGTGCACCCCAAACAGCACTTGAGCCTACCGTGCCTCGCCTCACTGGCTCGCCCAATCCATAGCTGTCTCCTTCCTTGCCACACACTCATCACAGAAGTCACCCTCAGTAGCTGGCACCCCTAATCCAGCTCTGCTCACACCTGATGGGGCAATTGCACCAACTCCCATGCCTGTCCCTGCTGGCTCAGGTCACACATCTTGAGGGCTGGCTGTCACCATCTGTCCCTCCATGCCCTGCCAGCTCCAGCTGCCTGCCAGGCACCTCACCTTGCACTTGCAGCAGTGCCACCACACGGGTGCCCGCGGCCTCACAAGAATAGATGCCGCTGTCACAGGGCAGGGCTGGCCTGAAGATGAGCCTGGCCACGGTCCAGTCCTGCTCTATGACGACGCGCTGCCCATCTGCACACACCTCCCGCTCGTCCATCTTCCATGTGGCCTGCACGGGCCGTGAGTACTGGCAGAGGAGCTCGGCTGAACCGCCCTCCTCCACCACCAGGTCCTGCATGGCACTGACCACCTCCACCGTGGGATCTGTCGGCCAACACGCCGGACACCATCAGCACTCTGGACAGCACTATGTGGCCCTCCCCGCTGCATCATCCATGTTAGTGGTCATGGCAGTGGCAAGCATACAGCACTGACAGGGGACGGCATGGCAATAGCAATGGCTGCCTATCTGTGCTGGTCACAGGAAACCCCTGTGGCCATCCAGAGCCTTGCACAGACAGCCCCTGTTGCAAACAGCCAGCTACCCATGCCACTTGGCCTTGCTGGAAACACATCTTACTCCAAGCTCTCCTCCTATGCCCACAGGCCCTGGATCAGCATCTCAGCCCCTCCAGCAGCCTCGTCAGACCCCCAGGACACCCTCCCAGTCCTGGCTGTTGAAATTCTACCCGACCTAGCTACTGACCTCAGGGACTCGAACAAACCTTCTTTGTTTCCTGCAAGGCACAAGGAGGCCTCTTCACAGAAGCACCAAATCAGCCATGGCCCTCCCCATCCAATCAGTTCTAACTCAGATAGGCACAGAGACTCCAGTGGAGCCCACAGTGTAGACAAATGTGAGTAGGGCCAGGGCAAGGCCTATCCTTCTGGAGCCCAGGCAGTACCACTAAGGCCTGGTCTTCTGGCTGGGGAGCTGCAGCCAGCAAGATGATGGCCACACAGACAGCAGTGTGCCAACCTGCACAGCAAGGGCACAAGACTGGCATCCAGATGCACTTCACCCTGGGCTAGGAGTGACACAGGACTGGCCCTGTGCAGACAGCACACATGGTCCCTCCCACTCCCCAAAAGCCTGCAGGAAGCATGCGGGCAGCGGAGGCAGAAGCACCAGCTAAGAGGTCTCCACTGGCTGATACCTTTGACTAACAGCTTGGCTGTGGACACCAGGGGCCCAGTACGGAAGGTAATGGTGCCTGAATCGGCCACCCCCAGGCCCGAGAGCGTGAGCGAGTGGATGGTCCCATCACATACAGCAATGGTGCTCTGGGGGCTGTCCTGCAGCAGGGTGCCGTCCAGCCACCAGCAGGCCTGTGGCCCCCCTGCACGAGACACCTCGCAGGAGAACACAGCCACCTCCCCTGCGAAGACATCCACATTCTGCAAGCCGCGAACCAGGCACAGTGCTGCCTCTGCACAAGAGGGTGAAAAGGGGGCTGGGATGGGGTGTCCTGGGGTCTTTCAGGTGGGGTACAGTGCAGTACTGATTTGGTCTTTGACCCTCAGACATCCTGAGAGGTAAAGTATCTTGATGGACCTGGTTTATGCTAGCAAGATAACTCAGGAGAGGCCCTAGACAGCTTCAAGATGCAGCTGTCACCAGGAAGACCAAGTCTCACTCAGCCCAGCAGCCTCTGGGACACAAGGCTGCTGAAGATACACCTCTGTACATAGACTCTCCAACAAGACCTGTGAAGCTTCCCACCACTGCACCTGGAGGGCTTGGGCCTGCTGCCTCTATACTCAGCCCTCCTATTCTCAAGTGGACCCTGTGATGTGAGCTGTCCCAGAAAAAAGAACTGCCTCATAGCCATGCTGATATAGCCTGAGACCCACAGTTGGCATTGGAAGGGGGCAGACTTACAGGATTGGGGCTTCACACTGCAGGGCCCCTGCTACTTCTGGATGGACACTCATGTGGTGTCCGCTGCAGAACAAAGCCATACACATCCTGCACTCTACTCAGGCATCATGTTGTGAGAAAACAACTAGCATACTGTACTCCTGGGGAGTGGGGGGGGGGGCTATGTGTGCTGTCTGTCTAGCATGTCAGAGTGGGATGTGCTAAGATAGCCCTGAGACCCACCCCGGATCTAGCACCACTGAGCGCAGGAAGATGACCTGCACTGGAGTCTGGAAACCCAACTGGCCAGCTGGGCCACTCTGGTCACAGAGGACATCACAGACACCATCCAACGTGAGCCCACAAGGATGGACTCAGGCTCAACACAGCCCCAGCACCAGCTCCACACCCTGCACGAGGCAAGGCAGTGTGGATGAGCTCTTTATGACCTGGACATCCCTCTCACCAGGACTGGGGGAGCAGTCCAGGGCTACTATTCCCCGAAAGGGCCCCCTGGGAAATGAGCCTTCCACCCCCAGGCTGTGGAAGTAGATGCTTTTTCACCCCAAGAGGCTTTGTATCCAGAGATCCCTGATGCTTCCAGGACCCTAATACTGAATCCAGCTGCTCCCTGCCTGTCATACAGAGTGGTCCACACTCAAGTGCCTCTGCTCACTGCACAGGCTCCCCAGGTGCCTTGGCTCACTGCACAGTCCCCTCCTTCCTGTCTCCTCTCAGGCTGACACTCAACTGGCCTCCACAGATGAAGGAAGAGAGATTCCTAGACCACCAACACACACATAGTCATCCCTATACTGCATGCCAGAGAAGAACAAGGTTAAAGGAATCCTCTACATGTGCTACCTAGCCAGGTAGGGAGGACCCCTGCCCTGGGTTTGTCTCTGAGCACTTGGCACATGGCAGCCTGGGCCTCCTTTTAAGACAGAACTGTCCACAGCTGTCAAAGTCCAGCTGCCTCTTCTCTGAGGGATGTAGAGTGACAGGGCAGGCAGGAGGTCCTTTCATATACCAGTACCTGCAGGATGAAGCTGGGCAAGGAGCCCCTGTGCCCTTAACAAGCCCTCCCTCAGGAGCTCCTTTATTCTCCTCACTGCTGCACTCCCACACTGACCCCCAGACACAATCTGATCACCTCCCCTTCCTGCGTGTCCACTCTTAACCTGGATGCCCATTTGCACAACCATCCCCAGAGCTCTCCCAAGGCCACAGTGGGTTACAACACATGAGCCGAACCATCTAGACTGGGGACACCTAACTCAGGGCAGGGCTCTGTGTCACCCTCCCAGAGCTCAAGTCACCATCCACATCTGCACTGCTGGTCCTCGAGATGTCTATGAAATGCCCAACCACATTTCTCAGTTCTTGGGCACTGGTTCTTGGCAGCCTCTCCCACCCCCACAGGCCACAGAACTGACCACGTGCACTCTTATCTCAAGTTTAAGGGCAGGGGTCATAGGATTCAGAATCCACTCTTTCTCCCTATGTAACTCCCTTAGCAGATGAGGAGTCCCACAAGGGCAAAGCGAGACAGGCCCACCTTGAAGTCTAGGACTTAGGTAAGGAAAAGGGTTCAGAGGGCCTGTTCAATGAATGAATGAATGAATGAATGAGTGCTGGGTGGACAGGGTGGGAGTGGTTGGATAAATGCATGTATGTATGATAGAAGAGAAATATCAGTAAGAAGTCTGTGGAAGCGGATGCTCCTCACTCCGAGAGGCATTGTGTCCATAGGTCACTGAGGGTGCCACGGTTTTGACACTGGATCCAGCTGCTCCCTGCCCATCACATGGAGAAGTGAGCAGATGGATGAGGGTGTGGATGAAGGAACAAATGGACTAAAGGTAGGGAATGGGTAGATGGCCAATGGACGGTCAATAAATGATGGGTAAATGAATGGATGGTTGGTAGGTAAATATGGAGACGAATGGATAGACAGATAATGGATGGGTGAATGGATGAGTAGACTAGTTTGAGCACAAAGAGTAGAACAAGGAAAGGGCAGACCAGCTCTGGGAGCAAAGCACAATCCAAGTTGAAAGTTCCTAAAATCCTGTTTGCAAGCCGGGGTCATGCACACTGTGCCTGAATGCATACCCACACCAGGGCTATTTCACTGAATCCACAGCTCTGAGTCTATCGGGTTAGCAGTGTATTTTAAGGTGGATGTACAGGCACATGGATGGCCTGCGTCATAGAAGTCAGGAAGACCCTATCTCCACCTCTGGGCCCATCCCCATGACATTCAGGCTCTGCACCTCCCTCTTGCAAACAGCGCCAGTCTTGCCCTGGGGACCCACGTACCACAGAATTTCTCAAGGGGACCTTTACCAGTGCACCCTGGTGGCCCTCCCTGGCTGTAGTGACCAGGCAGAGGGAAATCGCCAGCTGTAGGAAGATCCGGGTCCCACTCCTCTTTACAGGTGCCCATGGGTACCATACTGCTTGCCCAGGGGACAGGCATCCCCAGGCAAGTGCTAGACATGGAAAGGGCTGCCCACCTGTCACTGTCAGCTGGGCTTCCGATCTACAAGAGCCCACTTGGAAAGTGACGGTTCCAGCATCTTCAAGGGTCACCTAGGAGGCAGAGAAGCTGCTTAGCCCTGCTGGTCTCATCCTGACTAGGAAGGTGAGGCCCTGCTCAAGCCCTGATGGGGACTCATCAGCTCCCCAGCCCCAGCCCCTCACAGAGGACCTTTCTGGGTGAAGCTTGACTTTCCTCTGGTGGAGATGGACTTTCTACACCCAGGGAAGGTCACAGAGTCCCACCTTGTGCAGGGTGAGTGAGTAGAGAATGCCCTGTTCCACAGTGATGTTGTTCATCTCATTGGCCTGCAAAGGCACTCCAGCCAAGGCCCAGCGGGCCTCCTGGTTGAAGGCCCTGGACAGTCGGCACTGGAAGTGGGCATCCTGGCCTTCGCTGAGCTTCACATTCTGCAGGGGCTCCAGGATGGTCACCTCAGAGGCTGGACATGGGGAGGCATGGGCGTCAGCCTCCATGTCTGCATTCAGGATGCTCCGTTCAGCAGAGATCCTCCCAAGCCCACCCCAGTTCCTGACAATAAACCAAGGGCGGGTATTATCAGTTCCTTCCCAGCCCAGGCTCTGACCCCTCAAGATGCTGGAGATGACCAGGGGCTGAGGCCAGCTCAGGAGATGGGGAGTGAGCCCAACACTGAGGAGCTCCCCAGAACCTCCCGCCCAATGCCTGACTCAGCTCTCAGCCAATACTTCTCTGCCCTGACATTCCAGGGACACCAGAAAACAGCCTTGCCCTGATCTGCCTTCTTCTCGGAGCCCAGCCTCAACATCCCCTCCCAGGCAGCAATAGAGGCAGTCAGCACCTCGAACAGTAAGCTGAGCAGAGGACGTGTGGCTGCCAACATGGAAGGAGATGGTACCAGTGTCCTCAGGGGTCACACCCTTCAGCTGGAGGATGTGGGTGCGGCCGTCCTGGATGACCATCTCTGTCACCTCATTGTTCTGCAGTGGCAGCCCCTGGAGGCACCACTGCACATCTGCAGCCCCAGCCTGGGACACCTCACAGCTGAACTCCACATCCTCGTCAGACTGTGCCTCGGTGTCCACCAGCCCCCGCACAATGGTCACCTTGGGCTCTGGGGGACAAGAAAAGCCCCTTTTCCAGCCCAGGCCATGCTCCTATGGCCTCGACTCTGGGAAACCATCCTGATCATAGACACCATTCTGCCACCCACACAGCCTCTGTCACCTCCTATGTTCAGTAGCTCCTGCCTCCCCACAGACCAAGGGGCCAATCTGTTTGCAAAATGGCAGATGCCTGTCCTGCTCAACACTGCCACCTGCCCCATCACTGCTATACCACACAAGTCAGGAAAGCAAGACCTGGAGGGGTAGCTGCCCACACAGGCCTGGTTATGCCACCTGCTGGTCAGAGATAGGCTGAGTAGCCATCAGGAATGTAGGCTTGGCGAGCCCTGCTAATGCTCCACACATGAAAACAGCCACAGATGAAGGCAGGGACAAGGAAGCAGGCAGCCTGTGGCCTCAGGGCCAGGGTCCCCTGTAGCACGTGCCCAGGGACATGGGGCGGCAGGACAGCTCACCGTTGACCTTCACAGAGGCCGAGGTCTTCTGGTCACCAGCTGCACATGTATACTCTCCAGTGTCCTTGGCCTCCAGGTCTCGGATAAGTAGTTCACACATGGCCCCCTGGCGCCGCATCTCGTACTTGAGGCCAGAATGCAGCTCCACACCCTCCTTGAGCCACCGTACTGGGGTCCCCAGCTCCACCTTGCTCAGCTGGCAGCACAGCCTGGCTGTGCCACCTGCCTCCTGCTCCACACTCTGTAGCCTGGTCTGGAACCTGGGCTCAGGGGCTGGGGCAGAAAAGGACTCTTGATGCCAGGCTCCCAGCTACCCACCCCATTGTGCAAATTCTGTCAGCTCCTAGGATGACGGGACAGACAGCTTACCTCGGACCTTGAGATATGCTGTGCTCTGCACATGGCCTGTATCACATGTGTAGTCACCTGAGTCCTCTGGCTCTGCCCTGTATACCTGCAGCTCAGCAGTCAAGCCATCCTGCAGCATTTGGTACTTGGCACAGGGGAAGAGCTGCAGGGCACCCTTGCGCCACTCCAGACTGGCACCTGCCCTACTCAGCTCACAACGCAGGTGTGCCGTGTCCCCCTCTGCTACCTCTTGGGCCTGCAGCTCATGCAGGAATCGCACAGGTGCCGCTGAAAGGGGTAAGGGGGAGTATGAGGGCAGAGGAACCACAGGCCTCTGTAGGGTGCAGCCAGGAGCACAGGAGACCCTGGGCAGGGTGGGGAAGTGACTGCAGATCCCTGGGATGGCTAGGGAGCTGGGGGTGCACATAGGGTGACAATCTCAGGGTGGGGCTTCTAAGGCCAATATGGAACAAGAGGGCAGGAGCTTCAGTGGCCCAGGCACAGGGATGCAGGGCACAGCCTCAGCTAGGGCATTGCAGGTATGGGTGGGTAGGCAGCACCCAGGTCGTTTCCATCCCACCACCAGGGCATTGGGTCCTTCAGAAAAGCTAGAGCCCAGGCTCACAGCTGCCGTGCCCACCTGTGACCGTGAGTGTGGCACTGGTGGCTTGGGGTCCACAAGTGCAACTATACTCGCCCGCATCCTCACGGAGCAGGTCCCGCAGCACCAACTCTGCAGTGCAGCCCTGCAGCCTCGGCTCCCGGCGCCTGTCAGCCTGCAGCTCCAGGCCACCCTTGCTCCAGACCACGGGGACATCAGGGACTGATAGCTTACACTGCAAGCTGGCTGTGGAGCCCTCCTCAGCCTGGAGGCTCTGCAGTGGCTCCCGGAATACAACCTGGGGGGCTGGAGGCAGGGACAGCTTGAGACTCAAACACCTAGCCTGGGGGGCACGCCAAGACTGTAAGAGGAACTCAAGTCTGGGTGGGCCTCCAGGAGGGGCAAGGGACTACATGGCCAGGACTTCTCTGGAAACTACTAGAAACTCAGCCCGATCAAAGGCTGTGTTCGCAACACCTGGGGCAGGAATCCCCTTGGACCATCCAGGGTAGGTCCTTATCCCCCAAACCCTACCAAGACATGGCCCTGCTATTCCCAGGCTCTGAGATGGGACTGTGTCCCTCATATTTCAGGCAAGGCTGAGACCCCTCCTGGGCCAGATCTGAGGGCATGGCCAAGTCCTGTGGTCTCCAGAGAAGGCAGAGCTACATCCTTCAATTTCCTAGGTAGGGGTCCACGCCTCAGGGCACAAGGCGTGGCAGATGCCGATTCTCCACTGGACACATGGGCACCAGGACCACCTCCCACCTGCATCACAGTCAGCAGCCAGACAAGCATACTAATTGAGGGTAGCATGCAGAGCCGCAGAGACAGAGGCAGGATGGGCTGACTGCAGAGTACAAGGCAGAAACAGGTACCCTCAACACCTGTGTGGGTGAGGGCTTCGTGGGGCGACTAGGCCAGACTCCTTGACACAGGCATTGCTATAACAATACAGAGGCACGGTGGACTACCAGAGGAGACAAAAGCGACAGAACCATGGGGAGAGAGAGTGGATGAGAGCCAGACACAAAGCAAGGGTAGCCTCCTAAACACACCACAGAGGGACAGAAGGACATTACCCCTGATGGTCAGTGTGCCCAACGTGCTCTCCTGCCCACACACGCATGAGTACTCCCCAGCGTCTGCCAAGGCCAGGCCATGGATCTGCAGCTCACACGTGGCCCCGGCCTGCCTCAGCCTGTGTCTGTCCCCATCTCTGAGGGTCACTGTCCCTTTCTTCCACTCCACAGGGGCCTCTTTGCTCAGCACACATCGCAGCGTGGCTGTGGCCCCTTCTGTGGCCTCTTCGTTCTTCAGACCTTCTGTGAACTTGGCGGGCAGGGCTGGGAAAGGTCAGGAAAGGGTGAACACATTCACACTTGATCACAGGGAGAGGATGGAGTCAGACACCATAGAGGACACACAAGACTTCACCAGAAACTTGTAGGTGCCAAAACAAAGTGCTGGACCATGATTTCCCTCGGATCTGCCTACACGGCCAGTTCTGTGGCAATCTTAGGCCTTATCCTTTCCATGAAACACATTCAGAACCTCAGATTTTCTATAAAACTTTGGGGAACAATATTATGACAAGACACAGACCGCAACAGGGAAGAACCCATTATAGTACAAGGGTGGTAAGACTGCAATCCCATACAGAGGAATGAAGGGATGTCAGAGATCAGGGAGAAAAGCGGATGAGTGATCCTGTGGCATGTGGTCAATACTTGGACACAGGGACATAATTTTACTTGGCCACCTTTGGTCTTTTCCCATGATGGTCAGCATGGCCGAGGTCCTCTCTTCCTTACACACATCACATACAAGTAATCCCCAGCATCTTCTGCAGCCAGGCCATGGATCTGCAGTTCATGCACAGCCTCGTCCTGCTGCAGGCTGTATATGTCCCTATCTCTGAGGGTCTCCATCCCTTTCATCCAGTCCACTGAGGCCACCTTGCTCAGCTCACACTGAAGTATTGCCACGGCCCCTTCCTGTGCCTCCAGGGGCTTCAGGTCTTTAACAAATCATGCAAGTAGGAATAAGAAGAATCAGAAAGACAAGTTGTCAAATCTTGATGATTCTGACATCATGACTGCAGCATCCAGTAAGGAAACAAGAGGAAGGCTAGAGAGTCATGGGAAGGCATGGCTCCATGACTGAGACTCCTGTGTTCTGGCTGCTGAGGAGTAGGTTGTCTGGGAGACAGGCTTCATTCCATATGTGTCTTCTCAAAAAGTGTAATTCTCATTGCAGGGAAGCACAACAGCCTCCCACAGCCTATAGCCCAACTACACAACATTGTGGGCCGCTCCCAGGATCCCATAAGAGGCACCTGTAATGACCTCTCCCCGCTTCCTAGACAGGACACATGTCTGGCAGTGCTCCCATCCAGCCTGATGAACACATCAGGCCCCATGACCTCTGCATTACATGTCCTTGTCTCCAGTTGTCCAACACGACTGGAGCCAGATTGCCCATCGCTGCTTCTCCCCGGCTCATTTCATGGACCCCAGTGGTCCAGCACAGCTGCCTCCCCACGCCTTCAGCCCTGCAACCTGCCGCACGGTCCATTCTTTCCAGTCCACACCGTGAGTTCCATGAGTCACCATGGACCAAGGCTCACCCTGATTACGTCTATTGTTTGTGTCCCCTAGAAAGTCACATGTTGAATTCCTACTCCTACAATTCAGAAAGTAACTATCTGGAAATAGGGCCTTTAAGGAGGCAGGGAGTGGGGGCACAATCCAGTATGACTGGAGTCCTTGTAAGAAAGTAGTAGGACGCAAACAGAATGATTGCAGGAAGACATGGTAGATGATCAGTTTGGAAGCTAAGGATGGTGGCCTCAAGGGGACCCAAGCTCCAGGTCATCTGACCTCAGGCACAACCACCACACGAGGAAGAAATACTTCTGCTAAGCAGCCCAACCCATGGCACTGTTAGGGAGGTCCCAGCAACGGAACTCGGGCACACTTCCATAACAACATCAAGGACCTGCAAGCAGCTTCAGAATTGGGTCGTGGCTTGTTGAGGACTTCTGAGGTACATGTTAGGAAAGTCCCTGTGGGCCAAATAGAACCCTTAGCAGAAGGACAGATATTAACGATGCCTCTAGTCAGGCTTCAGACAAAAATGGGGAATGAGTGATTGGAAAAAGAAAGGTAGTCCTGATAATGAAAAGGCAAAGAACTTGGCCAAATTGTGTTGCAGTGCTTTGTGGAAGGAAAAACACGGGAACAATGAAGTTAGACAGGCAGCTGAGAGTTTTAAGCAATGTGTTGAAAGTATGGCCTGTATTGTCTCTACTTCTTGCAATAAAATGGGAAAAAGAGATAAACTAAATAAAGAATTATTTAGCAAAAAGGAAGCAAAACTTGAAAACTGACAAAACTGTTGGCATGACCACACTATGGGAGGAGGAGTTCTAGAGCAAACATTGAGGATTTGGCCAGACAATCACCTCACCTCACCTGACATAAAAGAGATGAGATTACCCAGGGAAGATCTGAGGAGGATCCTGTTGTTCAGGGCCTTGGAATCCCATGAACTACATGGACCAACAAGGGTTTTGTGGATTTTACACTAGGAGCAACGCTGCTGATACGGGACAGACTGCAGGGTATGAAGCAAGCTGTTAAGACTCCCCAGCTGCAGATGTGTCATCCTTCAGGTGAAGGACGATTATGGAGGGGGTCAGAGTAGCAGGGATGGCTCTGTCCAGGGGCCCAGAAGCCAAGCCCCCTTCCCTCCAGTTCAGAGGGATAATGCGGCCACCAGGGCTAAAGGGCAGGGTGCAATTCTGATCGAGCCAGAGGGCATTCTTTCTAGCCTGAAACTCACTGAAGTCTACTCTGTGCTTTCAGACTGGCTTGGAATTTCTGTGACCAAGGCCTGTATTTCTGTGCCTAATTTCCCTGTTTCTGGTTAAAATGCTTCCCCATGATGTGTGCTGGGGAAGCACACATCAGGGCTGGGGCCATGGGTTCACACGAGGGAAGAATTCTGCTCAGTATGAGTCTGGAGGTGACATTTACAGACGCTGGACTTAGATCTGACACTAGCACAGGCTGAGACATGGGCTACTGAGGATCTGTGAACCGGCTCTGCAGGTGAAGAGGGTAGCAGTCTGGGGAGGCCACAGTGTGCCACACTGTGGCCTAAGTTGCATCCCCTCCAATCTGCATCCAAGTCGTAAGCCCCAAGCCTTGGGAACATGACTTTTTCCTAGGAGAATTCAAAGAAGGAGTCAAATTAAATGAGGTTGTCCAGGTGGCCTCAAATCCAACACAACCAAGTGTTTACAGAAGAAGAGATCGGGGTACACACACATACGGAGACAAGTGTTTGCCACCAAAGGCCTCAAGCCTGTGGACTCTCTGATGCTGAGTTCTGGCCTCCAGAATAAAGAGTAAACAGCTTCCTACTCCTGAAGCCACTCGGTCGGTGTGCTGTGTAGGGTGGCCTGCACTAATGAAAACAACAACACTGCAAGCCTGGCATATAGCTTCAGGGTGAACTGACCAGCACGAGAGACTCAGGAGGGTAGCCAGGCCATCTCCCTCTGGGACCCCCACCAAGGGCACACAAGCCCTCAGTACAGCAGCATTCCATGGCGTGAATGTCCTTGGGACAGTGTCTCCTGGATCTCCCCTTGGCAATCAGCACTGCTCACATTTGATGGGGTCCACACCATCGCAAATAGACCACCCAGAATCCTCAGTGTGCACACAGGAGGAGGATTGCACATGTGGCTATGGAAAGGACACACTGACACTGACAGACACAGGGAGACCAGAAACCTCAAGTAGGAGAATCCACACACAGTTATTACCCTTCACAGTCAGCATGGCCGAGGTCCTCTCCTGCCCACACATGCACGAGTATTCCCCAGCATCTGCCAAGGCCAGGCCATGGATCTGCAGCTCACATGTGGCCCCGGCCTGCCTCAGCCTGTGTCTGTCCCCATCTCTGAGGGTCACTGTCCCTTTCTTCCACTCCACAGGGGCCTCTTTGCTCAGCACACATCGCAGCGTGGCTGTGGCCCCTTCCATGGCCTCCTGGCTCCTCACATCTTCTAGGAACCTGGCAGGCAGGGCTGGGAAGCACCAAGCAGTGACTCAGATATGGGACGGGCTGGAAGTCTCAAGCCATCCCACACACACCAAGACATCAACACACAGGCACTATACACTACCAAAGGAGCACTCGTGAGTAGGTGTGCACACACGAGGGAGGGTGTTGGAAGAACAGAATACACAGTGGTGTGGACAATGACATGAGACCTTCTCCTGGACTCGGACAAGGGACAGCTGGACATGCTCAGCTGACCCAAGGACAAGACATGGTCACAGCATTGCCCCAGAAGTCATCACACCAGAGACAGAAGGTGGGGATGAAAAAGTGCAGACACCAAGCCACATTTTCGCAGTCTTTACCCCTGACAGTCAACATGGCCGAGGTCTTCTCCTTCCCACACACGCACGAGTATTCCCCAGCATCTGCCAAGGCCAGGCCATGGATCTGCAGCTCACACGTGGCCCCGGCCTGCCTCAGCCTGTGTCTGTCCCCATCTCTGAGGGTCACTGTCCCTTTCTTCCACTCCACAGGGGCCTCTTTGCTCAGCACACACCGCAGAGTGGCCGTGGCCTCCTCCGTGGCCTCTTCGTTCCTCAGACCTTCTGTGAACTTGGCAGGCAGGGCTGGGAGAGGTCAGGAAAGGGTGAACACATTCACATCTGAGCACATGAAGAGGATGGAGCCAGACACCACAAAGGAGACACAAGAAACATGCCAATGTCTACACATGCTGGGCAAATGCTATGGACCATGGCTTCCCTCAGCCTAATCAGTGCGCATGTCACACAGAACCAGGACACATAGCAGCAATGACAGGCATATCATGGATGACAGGACGCAAATGTGACGAAACCGTAATACAAACGGGAGTGGAAAGGAACGAGGCATTGGAGGCCAACAAACGTAAGTCCACGTGGCTGCAAGTCCTTACCCCCGACGGTAAGCGTGGCCGAGGTCCTCTCCTGCCCACACACGCATGAGTACTCCCCAGCGTCTGCCAAGGCCAGGCCATGGATCTGCAGCTCACACGTGGCCCCGGCCTGCCTCAGCCTGTGTCTGTCCCCATCTCTGAGGGTCACTGTCCCTTTCTTCCACTCCACAGGGGCCTCTTTGCTCAGCACACATCGCAGCGTGGCTGTGGCCCCTTCTGTGGCCTCTTCGTTCTTCAGACCTTCTGTGAACTTGGCGGGCAGGGCTGGGAGAGGTAAGGAAAGGATGAACACAATCACAGCCTGAGCAAGCAGAAGACATATGTGGACACTGCAGAAAACACAAGGCCTTCTACACATGGTCACATGCCTGGTGTGCTGGGCCTGGGGCCTCCGTTGATACACTCTCTCAATATCCTGACCATAGCTCCTTCCTTGGTCCCCATAGTCCCCCATCTCTCACCTCAATCTTCCCCCACAGAGCCAAAGACACATTGAAAACCTTCTGGCGGCTTTTTATGTCTTTTATGAATCTGGCAGGCAGGGCTGGAAAGGGTCAACCGGGGGCTCAGACATGCGATGGCCTGGACACTTCTGCACAGGGCATGGTACAAAAACAGGCAACACTCTGCCAAGGACCATGACATGAACAAGTAGGTATGTGCAGACAGCAAAAGAAGCAAGGAACTTGCTGGGACTGCAGAGCACAGGTGAGGGCTTGTGCAGCCTTCACCCAGCCCATGTACCATATGGCCATAGTCCACCCCATGGTTCCTGTAGCTTCTTACTCTGCATGAATCTGGTTGGCAGGGCTTAGCAAGAGACAAAAAACATCAGGATCTCTGAAGATTGTGGGAACAAGACATGACAATGGCAAGCACTGCAGAATGGAGAAAGAGAAGTAAGCATGGACACATGGCAGGGAAACAGCATAGCGGGAAGCAGCAGACAACAGGTGGCCAAGCCTCCCACGTGCCAGCAGGTCACTGCTGACATACGAGAAACACTCATAAGGACAGAGACATAGAACACCCACAGGCCCAAGGCACAGGAGACATATGCATGGACTACTTGGAACTTCCCCTCCTCAATGTCTGTGTGGCCAAGGCATAGTCCCCTTCCAAAGTTCCTTGTGGCATGGCTGGACAGTGGGGGACAGAGGCCCCAGGAGATTGCCTGAGACTCTCCCACAAGCTCACACAAGATCTCACTCCCAGGCTAGACTCGCTGGTAGGAGATAAGCCAGTCCTTTCCTCCTGGGACTGTCATCTGCAGCAGGTGGGCCCTGGGTGTGGTCCCCTCGTGTTTAGGTGCCCCATGTACAAGCCGAGGATGAAATCCATAGACAAGTGAACAGCAATGCCTCATCTCTGCACAGCATGTGGGAAGTAGTAAAGGAGGAGTAGAGGACACAACCTAGCTCCAGACTCGGTCGGAGCCTGGAGTCCCTGGCCACTGGCCGCAGAGTGGGCCTCCAGCATGCCCAGCTCTACCTGGAGACCTCCAAGGAGCAGTGGCTCTGGGCATTTTTGGCACTCTGTGGTACAGAGGTAACTTCTGCAAATGCACACTTCTCTACAAAGGTCAGAGCAGGGTGCTCGCCATCCTCAGCCCTTCTTGGGATATGTCCCACTCAGTATACCACAGAGATCCTCTACTTCTCTTTGGTAGTACCTCCAGACACTGAGGAAGGGAGAAGTCCCTTGGCTTGTCTTTCCCACAGTCTGCAGTCAGAGGTCACATCCATCCTTTCCCTCCAGCAGGCCCCAGGACACAAGGTACCATACCCCAGGAAGTGCACCAGACTCCACCTGCACAGCTTGACGTGGAGTGGTTATGGGGTCTCTCTACAAAGGCACCCAGTGTCTCTGCACACAGCAGGTGCTGCCTACAGGCTCGGGCAGACAAAGCGTCTCATCCACCGTCCCAAAGAGCCCTTCTCAAGGCAGAGCAGAGGCCATGAGAGCCACGTGCCTGCAGTGGTTTCATCCCTCCATGCCCTGGGCCTGCATCTGCTTTCACTGCCTCTGCTCCCTGTGAGAAGTGGCCTGGGATTTCATCCTCAGGCAGCCAGCCACAACAGGACAGGGATCACATCTCCCTGATAAGCAAGACGAGACCTAGTGGACTCTGCTCCCCTCATGGAGGACCCTGGCTGCCTCCAGCAGGGAGCCCTCCCTCCATGACTGGGATGTGGCGGGTTCAGGCACCAAGCTGACAGACCCAGTGCCAGCCAAGGGCAGCAATGGTTCCTACATGCACAGCCCAGGGCTCCACAGCCCTGCACCAGCCCATCCCTGAGGGTGGCGCACTGTGGCCCCTTCCTCCCCTCAGTGCTCACCCTGCCTAGCTCACACTGCAATGTAGTCATGGCCCCTTCTGTGGCCAGTATGGGGCCCAGCCCTCCTGTGATTTGGGCAATCAGTGGGGTACAGACACAGTGGGGAACACAGGATGTGGGGCAGGGCAGCCTGCAGGGTCCAGCAAAAGTCTGTTCCAGTGTGCCCAAGACAACAAGATGGCCACTGGGCCTGCTCCAGGCAGGGACTGGCCCCTTACTGTGCAGGACAGAGCCTCTCCTCCATCCCCAGAGGATGGGCCCACACTAGTCACTCTGAGTCCTGCTTACAAGCCATGCCTCCATCTCCTGCCTGCTCCCTGCTGTGTCCCGGGACCCATCACAGCATCTTTTTAACTGGTTCTCCCCACTCCTCCCTCCAAGATCTGACCCCTGAGGGGATCAGAAAAGATCCCACCCTCTGCTGGATTCTGAGGCAGAACCTGCATGGCAGCATGAAAGACACTTGCTGAAGGAACGAAGAGCGCTGGAAACCACAGCAAACATAGACAGACAAGGGGAGTGCTCAGACCCATTGCTACACACAGCTTTTACCCTTCACAGTCAGTGTGGCCGAGGTCCTCTCCTGCCCACACATGCATGAGTACTCCCCAGTGTCCGCCACAAGCAGGGCCCGGATCTGCAGCTCACACACGGTCCCATGCTGCTGTAGGCTGTGTCTGTCCGCATTCCTGAGCATCTCTGTCCCCTTCCTCCACTCCACAGTGGCCTCCTTGCTCAGCTCACACTGCAGTATGGCTGTGGTCCCTTCCATGGCCTCTTTATTTCTCAGTTTTCCTATGAAGTGGGCTGGCAGGGCTGGAACAAGATCAGAAGGTACTATCTTTGTTCTCCTGTGCTGACCAAGTGGCCCCACTGTGGTCCACAGACAGGGCAGACAGAGACACTCACCTTTCACAGTAAGCATGGCCGAGGTCTTCTGGTCCCCAAAGGAGCAGGAGTAGCAGCCACTGTCCCGGGGCTGTAGGTCCCGGATAACCAGCTCCAACACAGCACCCTCCTGGTGCAGACCATACTTGCTGCCAGACCTCAGGACATCGTCCCCACAACGCCACTCCACAGGCGCGGCCACGGAAGACAGCACACAGCGGAGTGTGGCAGCACCACCTTCCAGCATCTCCACATCCTTCAGGGCCTCCCGGAACCGCACTGGCTGAGCTGCAGACAAATGCAACTCAGCCTGGTTTCAGGCAGGACCCTGTTGGGCTGAGCACGATTCTAAGAGGAGGCAGGGATTCCAAGCCCAGGGAGACATGCAGGATCTGACAACACACAGCGAAGGTCAGTGCAGCGCAGGGGAGTGAAGGAGCAATAGGACAGACTCCCAGACTCACAGGCACCCAAGCCTTCACCTGGGGTCCAGAGTGGGACTAGGCTTGGCAATATGGTCTCGAAGCATAAGTACAGTAAGCTAAGGTCACTGGAAGTGGTCTTAATTCCAAGACTGGTGTCCTCAGAAGAGAACCTCAGGATAGAAGCACACAGGTGGTGACCAAATGGACCACAAACAGAGAGCTCATGGGGAGAAGCCAATCTTAGGCCAGCTCAGCTTCAGACCCTAGCCTCAAACTCCAAGAGAAAGTGAGGACTGCACAAAGGGGAGCCAGGGACAAAAGGAGAAGACACTAGGGGTCAATGAGCAAGGCCGAGATGCAAGTAGGGTAAAAGACGCTGGCCACACACAGACAGCCAGATGGCACAAGGCACTGCTACAGGGGTGAAGGAGATCCCAAGAAAGGAGGCAGCTGAGCAAGCAGGTGACACCTGACAGTCTCCAAACAGAAGGTGGCAGTGGCACTGGACAACATTAGGGCCAGCATGTTCCAGATCCCATGCCCACGCCAACGTGACAAGGCAGGCTGCAGACCCTGTGCTCACCATGGACCCTGATGATAGCACTGCTTGAGGCCCCTTCAGCCTCACACTTGTATCGCCCGCTGTCCTGTAGGCTAGCATTGGTGATGACCAGCTTGGCTTGGCCGCCGTCGTAGCTCAGCTGGCACCGGGCTGACGGCCGCAGCATCTTTCCATCCTTGGTCCAAAGCACGGGGCTGTCTGGAGTAGTTGTCTCACAGTGTAGGGTCAGGTCCTCTCCTTCCATGACTGTGGTGTCCAAGAGTGCCCGAGAAAAGATGCTTGGCTTTTCTGGTAACATGGAGAAATGGTGCCAGGAGAACTGGGTTGACTGTGGTACAGGAGGGCAGCCAGGCTGGGTGGCTCCACAGCTCCCAACCCATGGGGTGGCGCCAGCACACACTGTGCAAGTCATGGGTCCCAGGACCACCCAGGAGGGTGCTTCTGGAAGCAGTGTTCCACACCCATCAGTTGAGAACCAGCCTGCACCCCCAGGCCAGCGAACTTGCCACCTATGGGCCCAGTCACCCCTCAGCTAAGTCTGAGCTGCTGTCCCTCTCCACAAGGCTGTACCTGTACCACACAGATCTGGTGGCACCCTAACCATGCCAGCCCTGCCTGTAGAGCACCAAACTCACCTGTGACCCGCAAGACAGCAGAGGAACGCTGGTCACCCGCCTCGAAGTGGACAGTGCCCGCATCTTTGAGTGCCAGCTGCCGCAGGGTGAGCACATGGTAGCCCCCAGGCTGGGCCTCAATCTCATTGAGCCCATCGGCATGCAGGGGCCTCTGGTCCAGAAACCAGTGCACTGGGCCATAGTCCGCAGGAGACAGGCGGCAGCAGAAGGTGGCCGAGGCACCCTCCTGCACCTCGGCATCCTCCAGATCCTCAATGATGCACACACTCCGGCCTGCAAGAATGCAGTCAGCTGTCAGGGCCCCGCCAGTTGTGGGGACATGCAGCTCTCCTCAGACCCCACGAGCAGCTAACAGTCACTGGTAGTGGCTGCTCAAGAAGCCCACATGGACAAAACTCAAGACTACAATGGATCAGAACCAGAAGACCAGAGGTCTTCGTTACAGAGCAAACTCCAAGTCCCAAGCCCCTCCTCCCCCTGGACCTGTATGACACTAGCCCTGTTTCCCAGGCTGTTGGAGAGCCAGCACTGTCTGGCTCCACTGGGCTTCACACAAGCCTGTGTGTCCAGCTGTGCCTGTGTCACCACCACCCATGCATTTCCTATTGGAACAGGAGGCGAAAGACGACTGTTACCCTACTGTGCTGTGGGTGCTGAGCTCACCTCCTCCGAGGCACGTGCAGTCCATTCTCCATCCCAGCCCAGGGAACACCTGCCTGGCCAGGACACTTCACCACTGAGGGCCCCACCACTGCCCTCACCTCCAAGTCCCACAGACTGCAGGCCCAGCCACCCAGCTTCATGTAGCTTTTCACTCCCCTAACCAAGGACACATGCCTGTGTTCCCGTCCTGCACCATCAGCATGTACTTGCAACCCTGGTGTGTGGCCCTAAAACAGCCAGAGCTGCCAACTATCTTTCCACCAACTGTCCACACAGCGGGGTCGCCAGTGTTCTCTGGGACAACACACACTCAGAGCTCTCCCCCTCCAGCACCTCTGCTGTCTTCAGGTGAAAGCCAGCAGCAGCAGGCAGGCCGACAGTCAGCCCTCTCTCAGAACACCTGAGGCTCCCAGCCATCACCAAGTCCTGGTAGTGTGTTGGGTGCTAGCACATGAAGAGCACTGGCTTAACTGTGGCAGAACCCATGGTAAGCAGACCAATGCTGGACCATGGATGAGAGCCCACAGCCACCTATCATTTCCTCCACCTGTAAATATTGGAGAGACCGAGGCAGGGCCATTACAGAAACCAGCGCACTGGGCTGAAGTTGGCAGGGCACTGGAGGCAGCAGGATGGGGCATGCTGAGTGCCAATCTCTGGCCATCATGGTGTCTCCAAGGTCTACAGCAGCACCTGAGCCTCTGTGGTGGGCATTGCTGTCGTCCCCAGCTCACCTTGCACCTGGAGCCGGGCCTGGGACCGAGCCTGGCCAATATCACAGGTGTAGGTGCCACTGTCAGCTGGCGTCAGTGCACTGATGGTGAGACTCAGAGTTAAGCCCTCCTGGCTAGCTGTATGCTTCCCTGAGGCTCGCAGCTCCATAGCATCCTTGCGCCATGTCACAGTGGCCACCGGCTGTTCTGTCTTGCAGGTAAACACAACTGTGCTCCGCTCCTGAGCCTGCAGGTCAGCCAGCTCCTCTGTGAACCGGTTTGCCTTTTCTGGAGAGGGAAACCAAACAGGAGGGCAGAGAATGTAGCCAGCGCACACTCCCCTGCAGAGGCACCATCCTGGGCTGCGAGTGGACCTGGCACAGGTCCCAGGCACTCACCCTCCACACAGAGCCTGGCAGTGCTCCTGGCAGCACCTGTCTCACACGTGTACTCGCCAGAGTCCCTGAGTGAGGCACCACGCACCACCAGCATGGCCTTTGCGTCCTCGAAGAGCAAATTGTACTTCTGCCCCTTGCGGATGGCCTTCCCATCTTTCAGCCAGCGCACGGGGGCATCTGCTCGTGACAGCTCACAGCTCAGCACCACATCCTCCCCTGGCATGGCCTGCTGGTCCTCCAGGGGCTTGATGATGGCCACTGGCCTTTCTGGGGAAGCAAACAGCACTCAGTGAAAAACCATAGCACCAGCCATACATGATCTGGGCCACAGAGCCATGGCCTCAGTACAGCCACACCCAGAATGGCCTCAGGGACATCCAGGCACTGCAGACTCCATGGTCTCAGGGCAAGGCCAGGGAGACAGGACCAGGGACCATGGCATCCTCACCCTAGTCTCTCATCAGGGCCTCCTAGGGGTGGCCAGGTGCTGGTGCCTGCACACTGGGCTCTACTGATCTGACAAGCATGCAAGGCCGGAACACTAACTCTAAACCTTGACAGCAACTTCCAGCCAAGTGCATGGCCAGACACTGTGAGCCTAGTGCGGCTAGAAGTTTTACCAGTCACACCCATCAGCCATTGGCCATATGGGGCAATTGAGCCACTCATCAGAGCCCAGAATCCCAGCTTTCTCTAGAGTGTTAGAGACTAACCAAAATGAACCCTCAGGGTGACCAGAACCCTTATCCCCTAGCAAGTGTCTCTGGGTCTCCACATCCTCCAAAGGACAGAGGATGGACCCCCAGGTACAAGCCCTAGGCCCACATACCCACCTTTGATGATCAGCGAGGCCCTGGATGTGAGGCCGCCCAAAGAGAAGACCACCTCTCCAGCATCACTGAGCACAGCGTCCTGTACCATCAGCATGTACTTGCGACCCTGGTGTGTGGCCCTAAAACGGCCAGAGCTGCCAACTATCTTTCCACCAACTGTCCACACAGCGGGGTCGCCAGTGTTCTCGTGGGACAACACACACTCAAAGCTGTAGGTCTCCCCCTCCAGCACCTCCGCTGTCTTCAGTCTCTTGGTGATGCCCACACGTAGGTCTGCAGGCCATAGGACATGTACTATCACCTGGGTGCCTGAGGACGATGTGGCCTGAGCACATGTAAACCCACCCCAAGTCCAGAGAGGCTGACACACACAGCAGCCATCCTCACAGGGACAGCCTGCCCTGCATGCAGATGACAGTTAAAGCTGCAGCAGGTGGCCAAGCACTACAGCCACCTACATCGCACAGGTGAGCACCACGAGAAGAGGGCATGTCATGCACTCTTCTCTATGTTGCCACCATGGAAAGCCAATCCCACCTGTCCCAAGTCAGGGACCTCTGCAGATGGAGGTCAGGGTCCCAATGCACCAGCCCTATATTGGGGAACCAGTCCACTGAGAGGACCCACCAGTTCAAGAGGCAGATTGGGTGTAGTGCCAACTCTGGCCACCTTGTGCACCCAGCCTGGAGCCCTTCCCAAAACCTTCATCCATGCCTATTCTCAGACGTGTCCTCTAGTACAGAGAGAAGGGCCTGCCTCACTGTCCACAACCCAGTGCACCCTGGCCCTCACAGGACCACAACAGGAAGCCCCCCACCTCTTCCACTCCCCTCAGTCCAGAAAGTGACATGTGTCACAGGGAAGGAAGGTGGCCACACCCACACCACGCACCATGCACGCTGACCCGGGCCCGCGTCTCCTCCATGCCCACGCGGCAGGTGTATAGGCCAGCATCCTTGTGGCCTAGGTCATGTACCACCAGTCTGCGAGTGCCTACTGTGTGCAGGAATTCATACTTGTCACCAGGCGCCAGCTCCACACCATCCTTGCACCACACCACGTGGGCCTTGGGGTCAGACACCTCGCACTGCAAGGTCAGCGTGCCATGCTCCTCCACTGACACATCATCCAGCACCTTCAGGAACACCACGGGCTTTTCTGGGGGGAGGGTGTATGGGTGGTGAGGGGCTTGCCATGGGGAGTGGAACCCCACAGACCTCACAAGGATGGCTCACCTCGGACTGTGAGCTGGGCTGCAGCTGACACCTTCAGGGAGCTGGCGCAAATCACACCAGCATCTGCCTGCCGGACACTCTTAAGCACCAGCGTGTGGCGCCTGCCCTCATGGGTGATCTCATGGAAGCTGTCATTGTATAGCGGTGTCCCGTTGAGTGACCACTCAACCTCCTCATCCTCATGGGACAGCTCACAGGAGAAGCAGGCCCGGCCCTCCTCGGTGACCTCAGCATCCTGCAGCGGCTGGGTCACTGTCACCTCCCGTGCTGCATGGCACACAAGACATCAGCACTGTGCTCCCAGCCTGGTCCAAGACCCCAGGTACTGCCTCTATCTACCTTCCACGGTGACCTCAGTGCTGGTCTCTGCACTGCCCGCTTGGCACCTATAGACACCAGCGTCAGCAGGGCTGAGTCGCAGGACACGCAGCTCAGCCATTTGGCCCTCCAGCACCATTTTGAACTTCCCGGATGGGGTGAGTGGTGCATCATCCTTATACCACTGCACAGCCTTGGGGGCCGGACGGAAGTCACAGGACAGCACCACCGACTGCTGCTCTCGGCCCGTCTTGGGCTCCAGCGGCCGCACCAGCGTGATGGGAATGTCTGCAGGCAGGCACAAGCAGGAGAGTGAGGGTTATGGAGGCCTTGTTCACAGACTTCCTGCACTCCTCCCCTGTCCCCTACTTACCTGAGACCACCAGGCGGGCGGAGGAGCGTGCCTTGCCAATAGTGAAGTGCACGGGCCCCGTCATGGTAGAGCACGTGCGCTGCAGTACCAGCCGGTGCACCGTGCCTTCCTGCTCCAGGCCCACATGCGCCCCTTCCTGCAGCACCGTCTTGCCCAGCAGCCACTTGGCTGGCCGCACAGAGGGGATAGAGGTCTCACACTCAAACCAGGCAGGTGCAGGCTCCATCACCATCACATCCTGCAGGCCCCGCACGATGGTAATGGACTGCTCTGTGGGCAGTAGGGCAGCACGGTCACCTCAGGGCCCCATGGTAAGGACAGTGTTTTCCTGGTGCCCTCATCCCTGCTGTCAGGATGTCCCAGAGCGGGCTGCACTGGGACCCCCAAGACCATCCATGACCTGTGGGCTTCTGGGGGAACCTCGCACCTTCCACGAAGAACTGGGCACTGGTTTTGACATCACCGGCATCACAGGTGTAGGTGTCCTCATCCTCAGGCTGCACGTCCCTGATAACCAGCTTGCGGTAGAGGCCATCGCTGACCATTTCATACTTGGGGCCCGGCTGCAGCTCAACATCTCCCTTCAACCATCGCACCTGGGCACTGGCCCGGGACACCTGGCACTCAAGCACCCCACGGTGTTTCTCCATGGCAATCTTGTCCCGCAGCGGGCGCAGCAGGGTCACGGGCAGTTCTGTGGCCAGCCAGCCAAGATAATCAGGACAGCAAGCCAGGGATATAGCCTATACCAGGCTCAGGCACCAAGGGACTGGGTCCTGCTGGGCCTCAACAGCCCACATCCTCCTCTTGGACCAGTGCCCCTCCAAAGACTGCGCCTCTGCCTGCCAAACCCACCCCTCTCCAGTACTGGATGCAGCCCAGGGGGACTGGTCACCACCATTAAAGGGACCCCAAGTCCTATGGCCTCTGGCTGCCCTTGCCCCATGCAAGAGGACACATTGCTTTCCTTCCTCCAAAGGCCCTACTGTCCCCATCCTTGGGATATCCCAGGCTGTCCATCCCCAACCCTTCCCCAGCCCCCTCACCTTTTACTCGGAGCTGGGCTCGAGACTCTGCATCTTCAGCCAAAAATCTGATCTCCCCTTCATCCTCTGCCAAAACCCTCCGGAATAGGAGGGTGTATGTCTTTCCTGAAGATCAAGCTCAGTCAGTACCACCAACAGGGTGGCCCGGGTGAACCCCTCCTCCACCCCTCCCCAGGCTTCCCTACCCCTCCCCCACATGGCCCCCTCTTTGCACCTTCCTGGCGAATGCGCACGTTGTCGGTTGGCCGCAGCTTACTGCCCTTCCAGAACCACTGGCCGGGCACCTCGCAGTGGGACACCTCACAGGAGAAGGTGGCACCCTCCTTTTCCATCACCTCCACATCCTCCAGGGACCTCACAATCTGGACATTGCGGCCTAGGAGGCAAAGGAGGCCCTATCACTCCGGAAGGCCAGGCCCAGCCAGCACTCCCAGCCTAGCACCCGGTCCCACCTCCCAGGCACTGCCAGGTCTGGCTCACCTTGTACCTTGAGGAAGGCAGAGCTCTGAGCATCACCAGCATCACACACGTACATGCCCTGGTCCCCCGGCTCACAGCAGTAGATAACCAGGCTCCTGCAAGTGCCCTGGGCCGTCATGCCCACAGCCTTGCCCGCCCGCAGCTCTACCCCGTCCTACATGGGGCAGAAACCTGGTCAGCACCCTAACCCTAACCCTGCCCAGCTACCCAGCCACCCACAGGATGTGGGAGGGGAGGGAGGCACCTTCAGCCAGCGCACAGTGACGTTGGGACGTGATAGCTCACACTCCAGAGTCATCTTCTCTTTCTGGGTCACCACTACATCCTGCAGTAGGCGGCTGAAGGTCACGGGTAGCTCTGAGGGACAGGAAGAAGGCGAGATAGCATTGGGAGCCTTTCAGAACCCCAAGGGTGTCACCCCAGGTAAGAGGACATCCACTGACCCACTCACCAGTAACCACCAGCCTTGCTGAGGTATGCACGCCTTCCGCCCGGAAGGCCACCAGCCCACTGTCCTGGGGCCTCAACCCTGAGAGAGTGAGGCTGTGGACAGGGCCACTCACAGCCAAGTGACACATGGGCCCTGGCTGCAGCCGCACACTATTCCGTGACCAAATGCCTTCCACACTGGCATGAGACAGCTCCACCTCCATGGTGGCTGAGCCTTGTTCCTTGGCCTCTACTGCCTGTAGGCCCCGAACCAGGGTAACCTGGCGCACTATGGAGACACAGAGGAGTGTATGAGTACCCCCTGGGGACCTCACCCATCTAATTAGTGCCAGCCACACCCAGGCCCGAGTGACCAGGTCAGCTTCCCCAGAAAGCTTTGCCCAATCTGTTGGCCTATCCCCAGTGCAGCCCACTCAGGGCAGGGCCTTCCAAAGGTGGTCACTCCTGCTGCCCGTGCCTCGGCCCTACCCCAGCCCCAGGACCTGCCAGGCTGGACCCACACTTAGGAATCCCAGGAGTTGTCTTCCCACCCTGCAGCACCCCTTGTCACTCCAGGAGATTTGTCCCCCATTCTCCAGCCTGCCTCCTCTCCTCCCCTTCCTCCTCCTCCCCGTGGCTCCCCCGCTCACTTTCCACCGTGAGCTTGGCTTGTGTTTTGTCGTCAGGCGTCTCACAGCCATAGAAGCCTCGGTCAGCAAAGCCCACGCTGCGCAGCACCAGACGGTGGCGCATATCCTCAGCATGGATCTCCACATTGTCACTGGCTTCCAGGGCAGTGGCATTGCGTGTCCACCGGACCTGCGGCCAGGGCCGAGACAGCTCCACCTCCAGGGTTACAGTGCTCCCTTCCTGCACTGTCAGTGGCTCCAGCTTCCGTCGGAGCAGCACGGGTGCCTCTGTGCAGGCAGCAGCAGGGTCACACAGGGGAAGCTGAGTCCTGGGGCAGTTCCCTGCCAGTCTGGAACCTGAAGTATGGCTGGTACCTCTGGGGTGCAGACAGTACGTCCTCCCAGTGCACGCTCAAATTGGAGAGCGGGACAGAAAACGATCCCAGGGGGTACCCACACCACTTCCTGGCTTGGGAACCTGCCTTGTGATGTAGTCTCGAGTCTCCCAGAGCAATTGAACCCCTGTTCCTGCACGCCTGTGACCAACTTCACTCCCTTCTGACTCCTCCAGGAAGCCTCCTGGGAGTACCTCGACCTCTACCAGGGCAACCGTAGAATTATGCCCTTCCCCCGCAAAGGCCCCAGGTCGTCCTCCAGTCACCCCATCCCACACAGCTCACCTCGCACCCGAAGTGCAGCACAGCACGAGGCACCCTCAGCACGCACGGTGATCTCACCCGTGTCCTCCAGGGACAGGCCTGTCACAGTCAGGCTGCGGCACGCCCCACTCTGGGACACCACAAACTTCCCACCAGGCTGCAGTGGGGTGCTGTCCCAGAACCAGGAAACCTCTGCATCCTCTGGAGACACTTTGCACTCAAAGGTGGCCTCGCCGCCCTCTTCAGCCACCACGGCATTCAGCGGGGACATGAACTGCACCACACGGGGCACTGTGGAAGGAGTGCGTACTGGTGGGGTCCTTGCGGCCCCCTAACCTCCACCCCCCCGGATGCCCTACTGACCTGCTCAGCACCCCCTTCCCCTAACCCCAGGGTGTCTCCAACACCCCCCCCAACATACTCCCACGTCTGCCGCCTCTCATACCTCGAACGTCCAGGCGTGCGCTAGTGCACCCGTCGCGGCTCTCGCACGTGTACTCCCCCGAGTCCTCTGTGCGCAGCCCTGACACGGTCAGCGAGCGCACCTCGCCCTCCACTGCCATCCGGATCCTCTTGCCAGGCCGCAGCTGCACTTCCCCACGGCGCCACTTAACCTCTGCCTGCGCTGGGGTCAGCTCACAAGCCAGTGTCACCGTGCCGCCCAGTTCCCCAGTGACGGGTGCCAGTGGCTTGGAGAAGCGGGAAGCCACCTCTGTGGGCACAGGGGCTGTCATGCACCCTGTTTACCCCGAGTTCCCATCCCACTCTCCTCCAACCCGCCCTGGGGCGTCCAGGCACCCTGATCACCTTCCACCTGCACTGCGAAGTCCTGGTGCCTCTCAGCAGCACGGCAGGTGTACACTGCACTGTCCAGCACTTGTGTACCACGCACTGTCAGTGTATGGGTGTTGTCCACACTGCAACTCTCATGGCGCTTGCTGCGGCGAATCTCGACACCATCCTTCAGCCAGGCTACTGCAGCTGCTGAGGGTGCAGCTAGCGTGGCAGTCAGAACAATGTCCTCGTGTTCCTTGACCACCAACAGCTCCCTGCGGCTAGGCTTCTCAGGAACCTGGTGCTCTGGCTCTGGGGGTTCAGGGCAGTCAAGTGGCATGAGGTAGGAACTAAGTTACCTGACTCCTCCACCCCAGTCCTCACTGTGGCCTACCCACCCAGCTCCATGGAGGGTCCACGGTCATGCAAGGCAATCAAAAGGAACCCTTGGGGCCACCAGCTCTGTCCCAGGCAACAAGCAGACCCTGAAGGGAGGCTGACAGTCAGGAAGACAGTGTGTCAGGACTCCACTAGCAAAGGTGAGGTTGGAGGGAGGAGGCTAAGCAGGTCACTGCAAAGGGGCGTGAACTTGATGAGTGGTCAAGCCACCTCAAGGACAGGCCTGCCAGGAGGCCACAGTGTGACCTGCACTGCAAGCAAGATGCTTAAATACCATCTTTTTCACAAGACATTGTCGACATTGGCACTGTGAAAGCTACTGAACCCTGCCACTACTCTCCCAGAGAGGGACTGCATGTGCCACATATGTAGCATGCACAGGAGCTCTGAAGGAGCCTGGTGGGGGTGAGGCAGAAAATCATCCTACTGGGCCACCTCAGTGCAGCTGGATTGTTGCAACCCCACGGTCAGAGACAGGGTCCCCAGACTGACTAGAGAGAGAACCAAGGCCAGAGGCCCTGGGGTGGGGACCGAATCCCAGCTGACTGAGGCAAAAGTCGATTCACACCATTTCGGAGAGGCTCTGCCCTCCTGCTGCCCTCAAGGCCCAGTCTGCATCCTAGCCCACTGTGGTTCACACAGGGGCACAGAAGCCGGTGTGACTGATCACATGTGGTGCCTAAACACGCCTCCATCTGCATGTGTGGCCATCCACAGGTATGGGGAGGACACCACCAAGGCCTGTCATGGTCACCAGCCAGGCTCATATCAACAGCTAAAGCAGAGCCTAGAGGAACTGACCTATGATATGCAGGAGGAAGGAAACCTTCTGGCCCCCGGCCTCGCAGCTGTACACCCCAGCATCTGCCTCTCTCGCCTGCTGCACCACCAGCTGCCGCCTGCAGCCCTTGGCCTCCAAGCGCACCCTGGAGCTCGAGCCCAGCTTCTTCCCGTCCTTGAACCACGTCACCTCCGTCTTTGCCTGGGCCACTTCACAGCTCAGCATGGCGCTAGCCCCTGCCTCAGCCTGCACCTCACTGTGTGTCGGCTGCTCCTTGGTGAACACCACCTTGGGCTCTGGAGAAAAACAGGAGACTTGGGTCAATACTTGGGCCACGAGATTACAGGGCAGGAAGGCCCAAACCCGGCAGCTTCAGAACAGAACCTCTGGGTTCTGTCCCAGCTGTGGCCCTGGAGAAGCCCCAGTACTCCTTGGCATGTGCAGCACAATGCACCCAGACAGCCCACCAGGCTCTGTGGGGCTGATCAAGGACAGTGACTGTCACCAGCACAGGCCTCTCGGGGAGTGTCCAGGGTCAGTGGAGGACACAGGCTTCCACAGGGCTAAGGCCTTCAGATCTGGGCTTGCACTACCTCTTGGTACCCCAGGGAGGAAGCACCTCTGTCATGTGGTTGGTCCCTAGCATCTGAGCATCTATGCTGTGACTTACTCAACACTTGACACTGTCAACTTCTCTTTTCCTCCTCCTTTTAGACACTTCATATGGGGTTCTAACCACTGTATGTTGATCATCCCTCTTTGTCACTTGCCTTTTTTTTTTTTTATGTCCCTCTACATGGCATAAAGCTCTTCCTGATGGTGGTAAGAATGTGGCTGCCTTTTGTGGTGAATGCATTTATACCCTGGTTAAGAATTCTGCTCACCCTGAGGTTCTAAAATAATCCATCTGCTCTGCTAAGGATTGGTTTTGCCTTCTCAGTCTCCAAGCAGCATCTGGACTGATGTCTGTGTGGCATGGGGACCCATGACTTTATTTCCTACACACAGAAGATGGTAGAGGGTAACAGCTCAGCCTTTTACCTAACAGCCACCTCTTTCCCTGTCTCCTATTACTGTGGTGCAGGAAAGTAAAGGATCGGATTCTTCTCAGGACGACTTCCAGTTCCCTTTTCTATTGCCCTGCCTTGTTTACCTCCCCTGCACCAAAACTCAGAGGTCCTCTTCACGGCAGCCTTACACAGCCAGGTGTCTGGAACAGCAGACATTCTCCCTTTTTCTTCAGAAGGACACAGGCTTCGCTACTCATTGGAATGGACTTGCCCCTTCTCCCACACCCTAAAAAAGGCAGCCTTTGACAAGCGTCAGAAATAGACACTTTGTGTCATCTACGTGCATCTCATGAGGTGTTTATAGCTTCTGTTTTGTCTCCTAAAAACATCTAATACCCTCCCCTTAGACAGATGTTTCATTAGACATGGAATCAGAGACAGGATATTTGGCATGGTCATGTAAATTTTAAACTGTCTTTTCCCAACTCTTTGTTGTGAGTCCGTAAGTACAAAAGAGTTCATTGTGGTACCTGTGAAGCCTACTCCTCCTTCACCCAAATGTGTTCCTGTTCTCCGCAGACCCCTTAGCTCCTGTGCAGGGCTGGACAGGAGTGGGTACAACAGGCCCTCTGAAATCTCTCAACAACAGAAAACCTCCCAGACTGTATGTTAAAGTGGGGCATGTGTTGCTGTTCTCAGTAGAACCTTCTTCAAATTTAGGGCAAATCCTTTCTTTGCTAGTTTATGAATTTTGTTTCTGGGGAAGGGAGCCTAGGGTCTCCCCATCCAAGGAAGGTACTCTACATCTCTGAGCTCCATCCCAGCCCCAGGACTTTTAACCTGAGTAAACTCTAAAGTTTATAAATCTCGCCTAGATATGCTGCATGAATTTGGTCAGCCAGTTTAATTCTGCATTTATTGAAGTCAACACATGCCTCCTCCCTTAACCTCAGTACACCTGGCTTGTATAGGATTTTTGACTTTACAGCCCATAAGAAAAGGCCATTTGAGTTTTTTTATCTGTCAGATTCTAGTATCAACATTATGCCACCTATACAAAATAAGTTGGAGAGTATAGGTTTCACTGTTTTCTAGAAGAATCACTCTGAACACATTTTTTTCAGAATGTGTGGACCAATTTACTCATAGATACTGGACTTAGATTTCCTTCTATGAGGTTTTTGAAATCAGGATTCCCTTTCTTTAAACAGTTATAAGACTGTCTCAGTTCTCCTTTCCCTCTTGTGTAAGCTTTAACGCAGTCTTCCAGAAACTGGCCAGCCTGTCAAAACTTTTCAAATTGGTTCTATAAAATTATGCCATACTGCATTTAAATAACTTTTCAGAAAGATGTACAATGAGTCACTGGTTTGTACACACAGCACTCCTTAAGGACATGATATCAAATGGTTCCATGGGGTACCTTGGGGAGACCATACAACTACCCTCTCAGTGGACCACAGAGCCACAATGGATGGAACCCAGGGCTTCAGGGAGTGGGGAGCCTGTGGGGAGTTGTGAAGAGTTTGTTTAGAGAGTCAAACCCTCTAAACAGAGAGAGCTTTGTTGGCTCACAGACCTCTTGGTTCCCCACCGGCCACGTAGACACACAGGGCCTTTAGGGAAATGCCAGACCCAGCACCTGCTGTCCCCATCAGAGCTGCTGCACAATGACCCATCTCTAACAGAATCTGCACATGAGCTTCATTTGCTTCCTGTTTCTAAATTTAGACTCAAACTCAAAGGGTGTAATGATGCTGAATAATCTCATCAAAATCAAGAAAAGCAAGATTTGCTCACAAAGAGAATCCCAGACTCCAGCTTCTCTATCAGTCATCTGCTCTTATTTGGTGTGGACACCACCCTAAATTCACACACACCTAGACCTTGCCACATGGAGATGCAGATGGAGCTTCCAGATCCATGAAAAGGGGGATGAACACCCCAACACTATATTTTGAAAAGCCGAGGTAAAACCCTGATAAGTCCAAGGAAAACTGGGAGGCCAAAATGTCCTCTGAGCAGATTCAAAGAACCTAGAAAACCAGACTGGAGAGAACCTTCATGGGCTGCTGAATGAGGGCAGCTGGGAGCTGCAGAGCAAGGAAAAAAAGCAGGGTCCCAGGGACTCAGGTGGGGACATGTAGTCTACCCTAGATCACAGGGCCAAAGAGACACATCCCTACATGCTAAGATATCAGGAAGGACCTGAGCAGTGCTGGAACAAAGGACCAAACTTCAGCACCTGCAATCAGCTCTGCAGATAAGCAAGAGGCCCCATTCTTCCACACTCACCCTGCCCACCAGCTCCATCTGCTCAGCACCAGCACAAAAGGGAAGAGAAATACTACAGACATGAGAAGAATGTCAATACAGAAGCCAGTTGGTCAGCTTAAAGCCTCTCCCAAAGTCACAGTTTTCCCCTAACACTGACCTTTAACTTGCAGGCAGAAGGAGACCTTCTAGCCCCCAGCCTCACAGCTATACTCCCCCACGTCCACCTTGCCCACCTGCTGCCCACCAGCAACCATCAGTTGCTGCCTACAGCCCTTGGCCTCCAAGCGCACCCTGGAGCTCACGCTCAGCTTCTTCCCGTCCTTGAACCACATCGCCTCTGTCGTTGCCTGGGCCACCTCGCAGCTCAGCATGGCACTGGCCCCCACCTCAGCCTGTACCTCACTGTGTGCTGGCTGCTCCTTGGTGAACACTGCCTTGGGCTATGGGGACACACGGGAGACACTGAGTCAGCAATACTCCAGTGCCCACAGTCTTGACTCACAAACCCTGGTCACAGCTTGCAGCAGCACCCCAAGTGGGAACCATGGAGGTATCTCCACCTGAGGCTGGGGGATGAGGATGAGGCCCTGGCCCCTCAGGGCTGAGAGAAACCAGGACTCCATGCAGCCAGCAGAAACCCTGGAATCCCACACCAATTGCAAAACTTCAGCTACACAGCCACAAGTCTATAGATCACCATCAGGAGCAGGACAAGCACAGGCCACGGGGTGACCCTAAGGCACCGTGCACAGCGGTCAGTGTGCTTTCCCACATGAGCCAGGAGTACTGACTGTTCAACTCGTCACACAACAGGGGGCTATCACGGCTAGGCGAGGGGCACCCAGAGACAAGGAACAGGAGATTCGCTGTCAGCTGCACAGCACCAACCCCACTGCCAAGGGACCCACCTGTGACACACAGGTGGAAGGAGACCTTCTGGCCCCCAGCCTCACAGCTGTACTCCCCAGCATCTGCCTCTCTCACCTGCTGCATCACCAGCTGCCGCCTGCAGCCCTTGGCCTCCAAGTGCACCCTGGAACTTGAGCCCAGCTTCTTCACATCCTTGAACCATGTCATCTCCATCTTTGCCAGGGCCACTAAGCAGCTCAGCAAGGTGCTGGCTCCTGCCTCAGCTTGCACCTCACTGTGCACTGGCTGCTTCTTGCCAAACACTGCCTTGGGCTCTGGAGACAGTCAGTGTAGAGGCACTGTTAGGCCAGGAGGCCTCAGAATAGGAATGCTGGGTGAGGCAGCTGCAAGACAGAAACTTTGGGCTCTGCCCAGTTGTGGCCCCAGAGAAGCCCAAGACCTCCCATGGCCTTCAAGTGTGGTGTCCTGATCTCCATGATGAGGAGTAACCCTATCACTACCCTTGGCAAATGGTGTTTGCTCCCATGAGGGGCAACTGTTCAGTGTTCAGTAGACTCCACGGTAGTATGTCTCCCTCTCTCATTCATTTGCAGTAGCTCTCTACACGTGGGATACATATTAATTAGTAAGGGGGGGATTCTCTGTGAGTCCATGACACTATGCAAACACTCTAGAGAACACTTAGGCAATGTGAAATGACTGCAACTTCGCAGCTAATCACTGTCATGCAACTATCTTTCTGCACAATCCTGAGGGCTGGATACTGGCAGGTGTCTTGGGATTATTTCAGAGGCAGTTTTTTCCCAGCTTGGTATGGTCCCCCACCACCACTGCCACTGCCTCACTACTGAGATGAAACCCAAGGCCTTGTGCACCCACATAGGCCTTACCACCGAGCTATAACCCTGCCAGACTCTGCACTGGTAGATGTTATCCATCTAAGTTGCATCTTCATGCTTTCTTGATGTCACTGATGAGCATAGTTTGATTTCTAATCTGGTCAGTAAGCACTCTTTTCCCATTATGCACGTATGTTTCATTTAAGAAATCTTTCCAGCCCTGAGCCTTATTCACGGCATTCTCTCAGGCTTTTAAGTGCACCTATGGTCACTTCTGACACCCTTTTGGTGGGACTTCCTGTTTTACTTCTACACAGTTAAATGAGTAAAACACCCTTCATTACAAGACCAATCTTCTCCTACACAGCTCCTATCACTGAAATAGTAATAGAAAACTGCAAAGGTTGTGGGAGGACACAGGAATCCTTGGGTCTGCCGTGGGCTCCTGCTCCACCCATGACCTGCAGGTGTCCCTGCATTCTGGCAGTTTCCTGTGTTGGTATGGCTCTGAATAGTCCTTGCTGTCTCTTTGGTAATGTCCACATCTGGTTCCTCTCAAAAGATGTGGGCTAATCTCAGCCACAGAAATCTGTTTCTCCATTTTCAATCCCAACAAAAACAGTACTTGGATTTTGGTTGGATGTGAACGCACTTGGATTTTCAAGCATTTATTTGGATCTTTTTACAATTCTTCAAAAATACTTAATAATTTTTCTCCACAGAGATTTTTAAATATAGACTGAATTGGAAACATGATACTTTTGTTTTGTTTTGTTCTATTTTTCATTGTGCTGGGGACAGGATCTAGGGTTTCTCATTTGCCCAGTACACTCTCTATCACTGATCTCCACTCCTACCCTGAGATGTTTTTCGTGCCATTCTCAATCTTTAAATTTCATTTTCCCAAAAGGCAGACATAGTGGTACAGGCCATCATCCCAGCACTAAAGAGGCTGATGCAAGAGGGTTGCCACAAGTTCAAGACTAGCCTGGGCTCCATAGTGAGTTCAAAGCCAGCCTTAACTATATAGTGACATTCTGTCTCAAAACAATTCCCCCCCTCAAAAAAATTTCATTTTCCATCTGCTGTTAGCACAATGCATTGGTAGAAGTGTTTTTAATGGATTTTTAGAATTCCATTACTTATTATTAATACTTTAATTGACAGATCATAATTGTATGATCAATGTAAGTATACAGGGTGGAGTGATTAAATCTAACATCCATCACCTCATATCCTGATCACAGTCTATGGGGATACACTGGAGATTTATCTGTTCTGAAGTGCATAGGATATCATTACTACCGTTATCCTAAACCTTAATCCTCCAGCACTATGGTTTGGATGTGATTTGCTCCCCAAGTTCATGTGATGTAAGCTGGATCCTTGAGGGTGTGTGTGTTACACATATTAACTATAATCACCTGCTTGTGCAATACAGCATCAGAACTAATCATTTCCTTCTAGAGTAGTCTGTATGATTTATAAGTAGCATTCTTAGAATTGATGTCTCTGTATAGCAAGATGGCTTATATGGGTCCTTTAAAAAAATAAAGGATTGTTCCAGCTTTCTATTTCTTTTTGTGTACTTTTGATATAGCTTTCTATGGCAAAGTAGTCATAACTTTTCAAATGTATTACCATAATTTGTCAGATTCTCAAAAAATAACATTTGGCAATTATACAGGAAGAGATTTGAATCTCACACTTGCATAAATCACTGCACATTAATGAAATGCTAAAATATTATCTGGAGCAGCCATGAAATGCTGTCACTGATACTGTGCTAGAGATAGTGGATATCACTAGAGAAGCTCATCTCATCTTTAAAGCACAGAGATGCATGAGTGACTTGTTCTTTTCTTTTCCTAAATAAGTTCCAAGGAGAAAATGGACATGGAACAGGCTAAAGACAGGTGAGCAGAAACATGCCCTACCCTTAAGAATGTTCTACTTTGGTAGGTGCAGTCTGTGAGACTCGGCCCATGTCACTGAGCACAGACCTGGCAACACAATGTGGATCCTGACTTTGACACACATGGGTGACAGATCTCTTTAAACATTAAACAAGAGATAAGTGTCCAGACCCTAAAAACTAGAGTAACTCAAATCTTTGTGTGGACAAAATTCTAAGTGTGATTAGGTGGCAGACTCCCTTAAGTACTTCAATGAGGTGTAAGCAGCTGTCACTAGCAAAACACTCCCATGTTTCCCAGTAAGGAAACGCAGACACTAGCAGAAAGATATTCACGTGGTTCAGGGGAGAGTCATGTGGTCAACCCCAAACTGAGTACCAGGGAGGGACAGCCAAAAACAGCAGGCAGGCTCTAGGAAGCAGCTGCGATCACACAATGAAGCATCACTACTTGGAAGCAACAATGGAAGGGTCAAAACTCAAGTCCACACTCTTCTCCGCCAACTAACACAGCCCAGCCCTGCGCACACACAGTGTAAAAGGCAACAGCCGTGAAGAGCTGGCATCTAAGAACACAGCACTGGGGGACACTGGGGCTATCTCTCACTTATCAAACCAAATATGAAACTGAGTGTCCCCAAAGGACTGACCTGTGACACGCAGGTGGAAGGAGATCTTTTGGTCCCCGGCCTCGCAGCTGTACTCCCCTGTGTCGCCATCACCAGCCTGCTGCACCACCAGCTGCCGCCTGCAGCCCCTGGCCTCCAAGCACACCCTGGAGCTTGCGTCCAGCTTCTTTCCGTCCTTGAACCACGTCACTTCTGTCTTTGCCTGGGCCACTTCGCAGCTCAGCGTGGCACTGGCCCCCGCCTCAGCCTGCACCTCACTGTGCACTGGCTGCTCCTTGGGAAACATGGCCTTGGGCTCTGGGGACAGATGGGGGACCCAGGATCATCAGCACATCCAGTAGAATTCCCACACCCTCCTTGCTCAGGGATGACTGTCCCTGAGGTCCCCCAAGGTGAGATACAACCTGCACTGTGGGGAAGGATGCTGAGCCATCCCAGGTGGGCACCTTGTGTGCAAGTGAGGGTTGCAGGGCAAGCTTGAGACAATCACCATGATGCCTGTATCAGGCCTAGAAGGTTCACTCCCACCTGACCCCTCCCATCTTGGGGCCCACTGTGCACTAAACAGTTAAGGGTCAATGCCACAGTGGCTTTCCACACAGCACTATGTTTCCTCTTGCTTTCAGAGAGCCAGCCTCCCACAGAAATATAGCAGAGGCTCTGAACATGGCCTTGGCCTCTGAGGACACGGGGGACACAGTGTCAGGGACACCATCAGGCCATGAGGCCAGAGGGCAGGAAGGCCAAGAAAGGCTCCTGCAGGACAGAAACTGCAGGCTCTGCCCACCTATGGCCCTGGAGAAGCCCTGTCCCTCCCAGCATGCACAGCATAGTCCTTCACATATCCCGACCCAGCTCCACGGTGCTGATTGAGATATAACAAGGTCTCTCACACTAGCTCTTTAGGGAGGACTGCAGAGGTGACACTGTGCACCTGACCCTCGGGGACAAGGAGTTACCAGGGATAGTGCAGGCCACAGCCCCCCGCAAGGCTAGGCCCTCAAAGCCCGGGTGCCACACCTGGGGCTGCACCTCAGAAGCCTTTGTATAGTGTCTTATGGTGGAGATCATTGCTCTCCTAGAATTTTCTCTTCTGTTCTATCACTGCTGAAGGGTTTAGCCTTATTTTACTGTTTGTATAATTGTGATTATGTGCTAGAATGCTGATGTTTGTATACATTACATCTGTCTTCTCCTTCCATGTGCCTTATACTCCCTTCAGGATATATTCCAATGCATCAAGGTAACCCTTCCATTGTGGACAAGTGTCTCTATTTGTCTTCATGACCAGTGCATTTATGTCCTATTCAAGAAACTTGCTATTAATAGTGAAAAGAAAACCCACAAACTGGGAAAAGATTTTAGTGAACTCTCTCTCAGACAAGGGACTCTTGTCGAAAACATATAAAGAATTAAAAAGCTCAGACCCCCAAAATTCAAAGATCCAATCCAAAAATGGGCATGTGAGATGAATACGCACTTCTCAGATAAAGAAATACAAATGGCAAATAAATACATGAAAAAATGTTCATCATCATTGGTCATTAGAGAAATGCAAATTAAAACCACACTGAGATTCCATCTCACTCCTGAAAGGATGGCCAGGAACAAGAAAACCAACAACAACAAATGCTGGAGAGGCTATGGGGAAAAAAGGAACTCTCCTACACTGTTGTGGGAGTGTAGATTGGTACAACCTTTGTGGAGGTCAGTCTGGAGATTTCTCAAAAAGCTGGGATTGGAAGTCCCATTTATTCCAGCTATTCCACTTCTAGGCATATTCCCAGAAGAACTGAAAGCATCATACCACAGTGATATATGTGCACCTATGTTTATAGCAGCACAATTTGTAATCGCCAGATCTTGGAAACAACCCAAGTGTCCATCAACTGAGGAATGGATAAAAAAGTTGTGATATTTCTATACAATGGAGTATTACTCAGCTATAAAGAAGGATCACATTGAGATATTTATCAATAAATGGGCGCAGCTTGAGACCATACTCATAAGTGAAATAAATCAATCTCTCATGTGTGAATACCGAATAGTTTCCCTAATGTAAGTAATGATTCAAATATATAAAAGTATGTGGTAATCATGATTCCCCATTATGTGGCCTTGAAGCCTTACAAAGTTTTCACTTATTAATTGGAAAGGCTTTATTCTGGGCTTCTTGATATGGAAATGTTTGAAGCTATAGTATATGAAGTTATATTCAAATATTTCAAGGAAAAAGACAGACACTATGGTAACTACTATTAAATCGGGTTATTTGGTGGTGAAGCACTAGGTTGCTGAAACAGTCATGCTTTGACCTGTATTGTTATGTTGTTATGTCCTCTTTTATCTCAATCTCTCCCTTATTCATTAAAAAAATTTAGTTATTTTTTATGGTTTTTTTTTAATTAAGGGGAAAAATTTTTTAAATTAGCAGGACATTTTATAGTAACTTTTTTTGATTTCCTATTAACTTGTTTTGAAGTCCTGTAATACTCCCACTATCTTGTTTTGACTGATTAGACTCTGTTCCAGTCTGTATGATAGTATCAAGTTTGAGGGTATAGGCAACTACTTTGAAGGCAATAAGATTCACTAAGAGGCCCATTCTGGTTTGACTATTATCTCCTTTGGAAGTCCTGTAATGTTTACAATGTTTAAGTTTTATTGGCCTTGTTCTCTACTGTTTTGTTCAACTTTATAATACCTAATGAGATAGACAATTCTTTTTAAGGAAACAAGAGGCATTATGGTAACCATTGTTGATAACCTTGTACTCTGTTTTTACATCATGTACTATGTCTATCCTTGGTTTTGACTAACAGCTTTGTTTTGCCATATTTGACTTTATTTTCTTCCAAAAAAAAAGTAATAAGAACTAAGGAGTAATAAAACCCAAAATGTGTAAATTTTGTTGTAAAAAAGAGAGGGAAAAAAGAGCTCTAAAGGATACAACAGCAAGTGTGTTTAGGGGTGTTAAATAGCTGACCATATTAATGTTTTTGGTTGGATCATTGAACACAACTGTTTGCAGTCTCTCTGTTTGAATGTTCACTTTGTATGCTTTGATACTGTGACTTGAGCAACTATCTCTACGATGATAATGTGTAATCTATTAACTGGTGATTTCTTACTGGGTTTTTTTTTTTGTAGTTCTGTATTACTTATACCCTTACACCGCTTTGTTTCGTTTTATTTTTTCTCTTTTTCCTTTTAAATAAAATTTAAAAAAAGAAAAGAAACCTGCTAGTAGTGTGATCAAGTAATTGGTATATATGATTAAAGCCTGTGCGACCTCCATATGCAGTGGGTTTCTTCTTTGCTGAAGTGGACATGCAAGTCTATTTTATGTTTTCCCTATGGTTAATGTCTTAGTGCCATATTTAAAAGACCATCCTTTCTATATAGTTCACACTGACATGAGTGTTAAAAAGAGAGAAAAGGAAGGAAGTGAAGAGGAAGGAAGGGCAGGAGTGAGGGAGGAGGGAACAAGGAGACAAGAGTGGAAGGAAGGAAGAGGTGAGGGGTAGCTGTCCTCGTACCCCATCTGGGTCCACCTATCTCCTCTTTAGATCTGTGGTTCTAAGAAAGTCCTGCTAGCTGGCAAAGCCAGTGTCCTCAGGTTGTCCTCACAGCTGGTATCTCAAGACTCATATCTAGAGAGAGGTGTCACTTGCAATTCAGCTGGAACTGAACAGTTTCAGCTCTTCTCCAGATTTCTACCTGCATATTTTTATCTATTTTGCTGTCTCTTGAAAATGTTTAACAGTTTTCCCCAGTGAGTCTAAGTATGTTTCATTAGACTGCAATTGATAACATGACACTTTTCACACCATCGTAAATCTCTAAGAAGTTCATCTCACATCATCTGCCTGTTTCCAGTATACATATTTAAGTTTCTTATTTGTTTGTTTTCTTTGTTGTTTTTGCAGGATGTTTTGTTTTGAGACTCTATCAAATCTATGTAGTTCAGGCTGGTCTTGAACTCACTATGTAGCCCAGGTTGACCTTGAATTTGTGGCAATCCTGTCTCGGCCCCCCCAGTGCCTGAATTATAAGTGTGCATCACCAGCCCCAGCTAAGTGTTTTTGGTATGTTACTTTCTGGGTGTGAGAGCCATTCCCAACTTTCTTACAAGTCTAACATTAATGTTCAGGATAATCATATTATTCATGAGTTCCAGTTAGATTTGTCATGTTTTATACACTTCCTTTTACTAGCCTCCTAGCTGTGCTGACATATTGAAGAGAATATGGTTACAGTATTGGCTTCCTTCTCTTCTACCCCATCTAAAAGACAACACTCAAGGTTCTGTCAGCCACTGAAGGCCAGTTTTTCGCCTTAAATTCTTGGTGAAAGAATTCAGTCAAGACACAGAAAAACACTGTGAATTCAGGGGCAGAACCCAGGTAAAGATAAAGCACCCTAAGGCAAAAGTACACCCTTAGAGTGGCAGGGGCAGGGCACAGTCACTTGATGGCTAGGGAACAGCAATCACCAGTGCCATTTCTGGGGTCATACCAAGATATTTCACTTCAGCAATCATCCAGGAATGTCTGCATCTCACTTGTTGCAAAACACACTATGTGTTCTCTTCAGGTGGCCAGCATTTTGTTTTGTAAAGTATACTAGTGTCGGCGAGGGTTTAGCTCAGTGGCCCAAGTGCCTGCCTGGCAAGCACAAGGTCTTGAGTTTGATCCCTAGTACTCCCCTCAAAAAAGTGTACTAGCATTCCAAGATATTTAATCACATAAGACAGTTTCAAAAGAAACTAAAGAAGGAAAGAAGAAAGGAAGGAAGAGAGGGAGGGAGGGAGGGAGGGAGGGAGGAAGGAAGGAAGGGAGGGAGGGAGGGAAGGAGGGAGGAAGGAAGGAAGGAAGGAAGGAAGGAAGGAAGGAAGGAAGGAAAACAAATAAAAGGAACAGATTTTCACCTAAGTCGGATCTTAGTTTGACATGGGTGCCAAAGGTAGACCTTGATATGTGACCTCTGTTTACGTATTTGTTACTGGTGGGCCACTGGCTGCAGCCACCAGCAGTGCTGAAGTCAAGCTGCCTGATGTGACAAGTGGCCCATGTCTCAGCTGGCCGTGCAGTGCAGTCACTCACTGACCTGAAGCTTCCTTGTAACATGCAGGAATGGGGCATGAGACCTCACGGGTGATTCAAATTGCACTGTACACTGAGGTCTTCGTTTTGCTGTCACTGGCAAAGCATGTCACTTTACCCCTCCTCAGCCCTCAGGCCCACGGTTTCCTACAGTTCCACTGCACATGCAATAATAGGGCTAGAGATTTGGCT